GTTTTAAATTAAAAATAACATGCAGGGCAATGCTTAGTTTCAGCTAATGCCTGAAGTTTTGCAATCCAAATAACTGGTTTCAGGAGATATAAAACAAAACAAATTGTTTAAAATATAAAAAGAAAGTGTTACAAGCAAGTGTAGCGATGTGCAGGTATCAGTTACAATTCTAGATTTAGTGACAGTGGGCTTCCGCAAGGAAACCATGATCAACAGAAACATTTACTGAGAAGCCAACAAACCTCACAGTTGTAGAGAAACTTTCAATACTCCGTACAGTCTAGTAACGCTGATCTGAGATTGTATGGTAGTATCCACCATTTAACATCTTTAGCAAGCTGGTCATTAGTATTGACACCTGCTGTTAATGCTACCACAGCTAATACTTCTGCTCTCGAATTCATGTATGTATAGCACTTCCAAATGCTTCCTTTCTTGGCTTATTTTATTACTTGAGTAATGCATTCACAATTTTCAGATAAGTAATGCCGACATGGCCTACGTTTGTGTGTTCTAAGATATAAAAACTGAGACTCATTATCCATAACATTATTTTGCCCCTCTCATGACTTACATCACACCACATTCACAAGCTACCGAGGGCTTTTGAGACAACTGTCAGGTATTTGAGCTGATGCTCGGTAACCACCATGTTGAAAATGTTTGCAGGGTGTTTAGTTGCTAAAGTAAATGCTTGGGTGTGTTGGTACAGCAAAGCTGAAGGAAAATAGCACAAAAGATGGAGCAAAGTAAACAGAGAAACAGAAACAACAGTGCTGACTTTAAAAAAAAAAGATAATTTGTCAACAATGTGGAATAAATACCTACTTGTGCTGTCCAAAACAAAAATAAGAAGGAAGAAATATGCCTTGGCAGGCTCCTTAAGGAGACTGATTATCTCTCAGATGGCTATACATGCAATGTACATAATTTGCATTGATAATTCTAGTACTTTCTTCATATAATATTTGTTTATGATTCCTGCTTTAACAAAGTGCTTGATTGGGCTTGTTGGTGCTGCATGGTAGACGAAGAAAGTGCTTAACAGCGCCCAACAGCGCAAACAACAGCGCCCTTCCTGTCGTTCACGCTGTTAAGCACTTTCTTCGTCTATCATTCCTGCTTTTTTATTGTTTAGTACTTTGCAAACGTATAGTATTGAGCATTATTAATAAATAAACTTTTGTTGTAAGTCAGCACTGCTTGCGTTTTCCTATTTCTTGTGCTACATGTTTGGCACTGTCTTCTTTCAGCTGTGTTTAGTTCCATCGCCAGTTTTGAATATTTCATTGCTTTTCGAGGTTTTCTGTCAACAATCTTAATACAACTACCGGTGATTTTAGAACAGACAGTTTTGAGAAGTGTGCATATTTTAAGCATAGTTTTATCGGCTGTTATTCACGAGCACAGATAGGACAATAACATGGCTAATAAATCCTGACCATTATCTTTCCTCTGACAATTATGCCAAGCAGTTTATGCTTAGTATGCAGTGAAGAAAGACGATAAGCGACTTTAGAATGATTTATTGTTCCTTTAATGTTTTCATCTGCTCTTACATGAAAGAAATGAAAAAAATTGACTTATTCGCAAATGAAATGAATGCTCAACATGCCCTTGCATTCCTACAGTAGCTCACAAAGCTGAAACACAAAGGTTCAGAAAACCAGTGCTTCTCTGTTTAACTCGACTCTCCATATGGCCACTTTTTTTTTTACAGCTTGCTTAATTCCGCGACTTCTCCAAGCAACCTGAAGATGAATTTTTTTTAGTGTTCTCCAAGCCACTAGACACCCTGCTCCATAACCTGAACAGTTTTTAAAAGTTCCAATCTATTGATGTACAACAGCTTTCAAGATGCAAGGCAATTTTTTAACAGTCATATATCAACAGTCTGAAAAATAGTTTATTCACCTCATCCTTGTGGAGCAGTGAGCTCAGAAAACCATTTTCTGTGAAAGCGAAAATGCCATGGAGCCTGAGAGGCACATGCAAGGCAACAATAATAACATTGGGTGAAGAAGCTCCAATAAATATAGCAGTACCATTAAAACAAAGCTCCCCCAAAATAGTGCTTCTAACTCGTATCCTACGAGCATGCCAAAATTAAACATAGTACGACCATGGTAGCAAAACAAACTTACTGAAAAGGAGGCAAGCAAGCCATTGCCGCACATGGAATGATAATCAACTTCATTCTCTTGCAGTACTAACAAACTTCATATTAAGCACAACAAGAAAAGCATGCCTTAACAGCATTTACAAAATACAAAACATGAAAATGAGTTTAACAGCATTAAATGCAGCAATGGAAAAAATCCAGATACATACAGTAAAATCTCATTGATTCGAAGTCACTGAGACCATGAGAAACTTTTGAATTCAGACGGGTTTTTGAATTAACACAGACATACAAAATGTGGGATGCAAGGAACTTGCAATCATTCAAAGTAATTAGGGCTGATCATTTGCTGTGCTAGCTAGTTTGCGTCTTCAAGGGTTATGTTTTACCCGCAATACCTAGTCTTAATTTTGCCGCAAAGACAGAGAAATGACAGGTTCTCACTGCTGCCACCAACAAAAAAGTGAGAGAGAGGAGAGAAAGAGAGAGAAAAAAGACTATGTCGCAACAACTAAATGTGCGCTTGCGAAAAGCAAGACAGTAGTTGCATGTAGGCAGCACTGATGCCTGCTCCTCGCTGCGTCAACACATCATGGTGCGACCGTTCGCCTAATCTTCCTGGTAAAACAAGGAATTGAATAATAGCCAGTGTGACGAAATTTGCGATATGTTTGGCTGGCAAGCATGATCACTGAACTTTCAATGTCAGTTTTTGAAGTAGGCGGTGCAGGCAGGAACTGAGCTAGCAGTGCGAATGCGCAAATTGCTGGAGCAACCGGCAATCAGACGTTTGCATACATTGCTAATTCCGCCAAACTGTTTATTAAATTTCTTCACAATCGCAGTAAGAATAGGCAAATCATCACGTGCTGGCGTAGCAAAAAACATGCAATATGCTGCTCATGCGTCACTGCTGTGTTGCAGTGAAACATGTCTTGTTTTCTGAAGAAGCTCGTTTCGGTTGACCATGAGACAATTTTTTTTTTCTTTTTTTTTTTGTTCTAGAAGTAGCAAGGCTGGGGTGCTTTAGCTGCCACTCATTAGTATCACTATTTTGCATTGCTTTTTGGCTCTTAAGAGCTGTTGTTTCACGGATAAGCAGCGAAATCGGGATCGGGAATAGGCACATGCCCCCCCGAAGTTTTCGAACTTACCAGACTGGAGCTGACAGTCTCTTCAAATTACCCACTGAAACTTTCATTGCAAAATGCCAAAATATATTCAATTGAGTGAGATTTTAAAATAACAGAGTTCGAATTAATGAGGTTTTACTGCATATTGAAGTTAAATCCGGTGCTATAACATTCACACACGTTTACAGAACAACAGCATTTTAGATTGGTATTAGAACATTTCAACAAATGAGAGGTAAAGCCCGTTTTTATTGATAGGTAGATTATCAATAAAAAACATGAAATACTAGAGCAGTTTATACTCAAGATTTCAACTATAACAGCAGAAAGAAGTGGTGATTTTCTTATCAAGGAGTGCTTTCTATAGCTGTTACAATTTGGTTTTGTATAAAAATATTGGCTCAAGGCAAAGTGTACATTAAAATAAACCTGAAAACATAGTTACCTAAGCACTCATTGTTACAATTTTTATAATCTCGACTGTGTGAAAACTTTGCACAGTGATACAAAGCTAATTAAGAAGCCTAGTTAATGATTTTATACCACTTGTTATGCTTGCATTAGGCTCACTGAAAACAAATCAGAAACATTATTTACTTGAACCCCTTTATATGAGAAACAGACCCGAAAGTAGTTATTTTTTTTTTACATAGAGGGTCTCTGATAATCAAGGTACCACATTATCAATTCGTGATCAATCCCTTTTTTGATGTAGGCCCACTGGTGCCTTTCATGCTGAATAATCTATTACATCAGTGCCTCGTATAAATGGGTTCAACTGTACTAGTATTGTCCAGCCTAGAAAAAGTAATGATCAAGGACTTATTACTCTACTGGTTTACAATATATTATTTTGTCTCTGTAAATGGCAGTGCCAGTGAAAAGACTTGGCTATGTTCACTTTTTTGAGTCGAAGAAGGAACAGTTTCATATTTACTTCACATACGGAAGTACTGGACATAACTAAGCTGGTTAATTTTGAATGTCACAGCCACTGGGTTTACCACTATAACGAATCTGCAACACTATGCAGTGAAACCCCAATACTTTTAGAGCAATGTGTGCAATCAATGCTGAAGGCATATTTAAAAAGCTCTTGCATCTGGTCGACATGTAACATTCATAAGTAAGTAACGTGGCAGAGATGTAAATGAAGAAATTTCTCAGAGCTACCTCATGAAATGCACTGTTTCAACACAAATCAGGGGCCACATTTTCAACTGATCGCTTTTCACGTACACTAGCTGGCCGAACTATGCAAGATCGAACATAACTGCAGATGCTTACTCCTAGGGAAGACATTTCCGTCACTTTTACTATGCGCACAACAAAGATTGATTGATATGTGTGGTTTAACGTCCCAAAACCACCACATGATTATGAGAGAGGCCGTAGTGGAGGGCTCCGGAAATTTCGACCACCTGGGGTTCTTTAACATGCACCCTAATCTGAGCACATGGGCCTACAACCTCTCCGCCTCCATCGAAAATGCAGCCGCCGCAGCCGGGATTCGATCGCGCGACCTGCAGGTTAGCAGCCGAGTACCTTAGCCACTAGACCACCTCGGCAGGGCGCGCACAACAAAGAGCTGTGCAACTGTCGCCCAAAGTAATCAAACGCAGATACAGTGCTCGGCACAATGCTTAGTGCCAAAAGAGAGGACTACAACTAAAACAAACATGCACATTTCTTTCTATCAATGAAGCATTAGATAATGCACTGAGTGAAAAGGAGGGCACACTTACAAGTAGACAGGGCATCACAACCATGGTCGTAAACTTCCTCCAGTGGGGTATTCTGTACCTTGATGGCCTGCTTGCCATCTAAAGCGTCCAACAGTTGATACAGGAACAAAGACAATGCACACAGCACAAAGGTCCACCATGGTGCCTAGTTACCAGAGTAACGGTGAGGGGCAGAGTAGAGAGAAAAAAGAACACACAGCAGCCCTCTGCTTGTAAGTCAAACTTGTTGCTTTGTTCCCTAGATCACATATTGTGAAGCCCACTTTTTTTTTTAATTATTATTTTTTTTTTCAGAGGCAGGAAGCAGCAGGACTTCTCCACAGCACATGTGTCTATGCAACAGCTCTTTGCTCAAGCTAATACCAGTGCTGGTTGCAGCAAACAACAATATGCTACATCTTGTGACATTTCTTTTTATTGAAGCACATAAGTACAGAAATGTAAGCTATACTTTTCAATCTCCTTGACAATGTAAGAGGGTTCTTCTAAGGGCATGTTGACCAACTAGTTTAATCAGTTTGTAATACAACTGCGGATAAAAGGAAGATTAAATGGAATGCTCTAGAAATGGCAATACATGAAGCTGTTGTAACATCGAAAAAGTGCAAAATACAGACTATTGAGATGCATTTGTAAGATTGGCATGTTTGTGTGCCTTTTGAAATGTATGCACTAGGTCACATATATATAGCAAAAGGCCCATGTCGGAACTAACTTCATCTTTTACAAAAAAATCATGATGCCTAATGTGACAGTTCACTGGAGGAAAAAATGGGCTTTTCAGTTTAATGACATGATTCAATCAATAGTGGCACTCCACTAAATTTTTAAAGAAACCAACACGACCCAGTGTTTTTAGGATTTTCCTTGCCGTTCTATTCCTGTTAAAATTAATATTCATATTTTGTCATTGTTATTCCTGTTAGGACTTGTATAAAAATGGACAATTAGTTTATCTTTATTGTACGTATGAAAATTGTACCAATTCATGTATTTATTCCTTTTATGCTCCCCTTACACAATGCCCTGTTGGGTCTGTAAGGTATTTTGAATAAATAAATAAATAATCATGTTCCTAAAACCTGCTCTGCAAGTGAAATAGGACTGTTAAATGAGCCAAGCTAAGTTATTATGGCCAGATTTACATCTCCCCAACATTGTCAAGCCTGTGCAAGATGATAAGAGAGAAGGAGCACGGCAGTTTAACAATTACTTCACTGGAACATACGATTAAGATGAACAATGCAATCGATTCTCTTTCACTCTTTTTTGCTGCTTGCCTGGCCATGATAAGAAGACAGATTTCAATAGTTGCCCTCAACTATACGTACAATGAGATACAAAAGTAGCACTGATGGCTGGTCTAGGGTACAGCGTGATGATAGATGCACAAAAAACGAGCACAAGAAGCAAATGAGCACAACAATGACTCGTTGGTTTGTTCATGTTAGAACAGGGGAGAAATGGCAGAGTTAACAATGGCTCATGAAACATTGACATATTGGCAAAAGAAAAGCAAACCGCAGTTAGAAACAGTGACAGGAATTTCCATTGAGTAATGATGCATTAATGAAGTGCCTTCCTTTATGTCCTTGTATGTACATGTGCCGCATATTTTGGGCTTGGCAAGCCACTGCTTATATAAATAAAAAGCAGCGAACTGTAAAAAATATGGTGGCCGTACGTGCTACTTAACACAGAGTAATATTGAGTGAACTTTTTTTTACATCTTTAATAGTGCTCACTAAGACAAATGAAAGCATGGGGACCAATAAAAGAATGGTAAAAGCGAGTGAAACCCCCATAAAGGTTTTTAAAATTTGTTCTTATCAGTGTTTTTCAATATCAAAACTGTAACAGGCATGCAAGAACACTATTGTTAATATAACGCAGACAACTTTTGCCTTCAAATGCCCATGAAATGCATAAAAATTGAATTGCCCAGCTTTCATTTCTGCCGAGAGGATGCTGGCAAGGTTAGCTGCTATTACCATGTACAATGTATAGCAATTACCACTTTGAACAATCACATCTCCGTAGAGATGTCACAATCTATATCAGCTAGGATGATTCCAGCTCAATTAACATGGATTTTGATAGGATAAAGTTCAGCTTATAAAGGGGACACTGAATCAAAACACTCAATTGGTTTAAATTGATTGATTGTACTCAGAGAACTTGTTACTTTCACCATCATAGGTTTGCTAATAGAGGAGAAATTCAAGGTAAAATTACCACATTTACATCAAGATAGCAAAAGTTTTTTTCTCGTACTTTTGTGACCTGCAGTCAATTCTCGCATTACAATCGAATGCCAAAATATCATCTTTTTTTTTTCCCTAGGTACAATGAAAAGTTACCCCTTGCATTTTAATTGCAGTCTGGTTAGAATCAAGTACATAAAGGTCTCATTTAAAATTTTTCATAGAAATCTCTGTATGTGACATCACAGACTCTACAGTGTATTTTTTGCATTTTGGCAATGTTGGCTCTACGAAATTTCTTGAAACTTAGTATGTTATGTCTATGACCCCAGCAGGGGACAATGTATATATTTTTACTAATAACTACACAAGAATTAGTCACGCAGTCCAAATCTACAACATAACGATTGGTGTGGAACTTCAAGGTGGTATTGCCACCCACATTTTCTTCTAGTGCATTTAGTCAGTTACCAAACATCTTACCATGGCAAGATTGGTGATATTGTAAGTATGAAAGAGAAGCTTAGTAACATGACAAAAATAGTTTACATCTTGAGTCTTTTTTAGAGGTAAAATTTCACTTTTGACTTACACAGTCTTAAGGGTTGCAGCATATTAAGTGGAAATATGTCAAAGTTTCTATGCATTAAAAAAAAACATGCAGAACTGTTTCTGTACACTACATAAGATAACACTACACTTCCTCAGCAAAAAGCCACTTCATGCACAAGAGCAAAAAAAAAACACACAAGCAAAAGAAAACAGCTTTATTTTTTTTTACATTGCATAATCTTTTTATAAAGTTGCTAGAAATGTGGGTCACACTGAAAGGGAATAATTAAACAGCAATTCCCTTTTTCACATCTTATCTTTGAGAGATCAGCGTGATGTTATAAGCAGCTGTTGCTTAGTTTTGACCGTGAGTGAAGACAATCGCTTCAATAAAGCACAACTTTGATCCCCTCGGATAATACGCACCATGTTCTAAACTCAAAGGCATCACGGTTATATATTTACAGCCAAATCCAATGACTTCATGTGAACGACACATTTTTTTTTCTTACGATGCTGCTACTTGTTCACTATTACAAATTTGCGCTAAATAATTTCATGCACAGAAATGAAGCGATGCCCCCAGTTGTTGCAGTATCAGCCTACGTAATTTCAAATGTTCACTTAATCTAAAAAAACTAATCCTCGGCAAACACAGCACGCTATGCATCAACCACAGGTTTCTGCAAACAACACCCACGTGCTGCGAACATAAGCAACAAACAGAGAGGCCGACGGGTTATTTATACATCGCACAGGAATAACAAGCTGCAAGCCCCCCACCAAGCAACAGTATCAGAACAAAAAAAAAAAAAAGTGGTCAAAGCAGGAAAAGAAAAGGCTACTCATACAATAAACAATAAAAAAAGGTATTCACAACACTCTTTCATTTTATTCTTGCCAATTTCAAGTACAAAGGTTTTTTTATTAATATTATTATTATTTAAAGGTGGTCAGGCTCTACTTACGGTGCGTGAACACATGGGCAAACACACACACACATATAAAGAAAAGAAGCAGGTACACAAATGAGAGAGCAATATTTTTGTACCCAACTTTTCAGCTTAAAGCCACTTCTTTCCTTGTACAAATGAGGCCGAGTGAACTTTCCCTTCATACTACACACATATAAAAGTAGACATTGAAGCTTTGCACTACATTTATCATATCGCATATCAAGTGTTTGTGTATGCTTTAGTTGAGGCAATAGTTTTGGCCATTTAACTCGGGGACTTCGGAAGAATGCCAAGCCCAAATAGTACTATTTAACACTTTTGGCGCTGACTTTCTTCCACACTTACAAAACCTGTCGGTGCAGCTTTATGCGATTTTGACAGCATGTCTATGTTAGCTAAGATATATGATATAATATGTCAGCTAAGTAACAGACTCACATAATTGTGCATGCCATTATAAAAGCCTATTACAGTTGACCCTCGGTAAACAAAAATCTCTTAAGCATAACTTGTGCTGAAATAAAACAACTGTCTCTGATATTGTTGGTTTTGTACTTGTGTTCTGCACCCATATTTGCCTCTCATTAAACAGAACAACTCTATAACCGAGCATATTTCTTGCCCCCCCCCCCCCCCCCAGTTGCTGCTGAAGAGAGTTCAGGTAAATGATTGTGCGTGCTTCCAAGCAATATCAAGTCCTGTTGTCACAGTTATATATTTTATTTTTAGACTCCAGAAATCCAGCCCAAAGCTTTGTCAGCAGTGACATTGTATCTGTGTATATATATACAGCGAGAGTTTCTGATGGTATTCTCGTGAAAGATTGGAAGGAAACAACTAAGTTTTTAATAACAGCACATGATATACTCGTACACGATTCAAGGTTTATAAGCCTGGATAGGTGTTACAAGACTTAGCATCTGTTCACAGAAACAAATTTATGCTGCTTCATGTTATAGTTGAGTTGTAATGAATTGTTTTTGAACATCGGTGCAAGAAAACGATAATAATAACATCTGGGATTTAACGTCCAAAGACCACCATATGATTATGAGAGATGCCTCAGTGTAGGGCTCCAAAAGCTTCGACCACTTGGGGTTTTTTACTGTGCACCCGAATTCAAGCACACGAGCTTACAACATATTTGCCTCAATCGCTGAATGTAGCTGCCACAGCCTGGCATTCGATCCCGCAACCTGCGGGTCAGCAGCCGAGTGCTTTAGCCACTAGACCACCACGACGGGGCAGCGCAAGAAAAACAGCGTGGTCTACTTCAGTATAATTTATGAAAGAAAAGTATTGTGCAATCATATACAACACATATAGTGAGGTAAAAGCAATAAGTATTCATCAAGAGACATCCCCTAAACAAAATTTTCACTGCTGGGAAATTGCTTTTGAAAATATCCCAAAAGAAAACTGCAGAGTTCTAAAGGGTACAAGGTAGGCAATGCAATTTTATCAAATGGAAAATTTTTGCCATCAATCGCAGGCACTCGCTAATGAAAAAAAATCAAAAACTAGATTTCGCTTTTTTATAACATCTAACTAAAAAAAAGTGGAAAACAACCAGATCATATCTTTATTCTAAAATTCTTTACAGCATTAGATTTTTTATAGAGGAATCCAACTTTTCGTTGGGACCAGTCTACTCCATGAAAGCAAGGTAGCTAGCTAACAAGAACACAGGCAGAATTACGTAGGGAAGAAAAAAAAAGAGAGAAAGAATAAAGCCTACCTCTGAGCGAAGATCACTGCTGTAGCTTAGTAGAAGTAAACAGCAACACACATTTATTACAAGTCCTGAACACGTGAGAAGACACGGATGCCATCCTTTTCAGGCACAAACTTCAGGCACCACATCCATAACCTATGTGGGTATATTGAACATGTTGCTTAGTAAAACAATATGATGCTGATTCATTGCTAGTGCGATGAACTTTTTTTATGCTGAAATTAATAATGCTAGCAGAGATTATGTCCAGTACTCGCACACCAAAACGCAAAAATTTACGGTTAAGTATGTACATACTTTTATTTTCAGTATCTACGGTGTTATTATACAAAAAGAACATCATGTGATATTAAACCACTAATTTGGCTTTTTATCTGATGACTTTCCTGACTCCATTACTAAGCTTGTGCTGTTCTTTAAGATCAGATTACATGACATAAAGTGGCTCGAAATTTTCTAATGAGGAGATTAAATTTAGAGCAGATAGGTGATATGTCATCTTCTATTTACAGCATGTATGACATTAGAAAACACGCAAAACACACAAAGCACAGTGTGCGTGAGACCACTACGAAAATCAGTTTCTCAAGGTTTAATGGACTGACAAAGTGATGCTGCAGTGCGGTTAAGCTGATGCTTGCATGAGAATGTCGATACCTTTGCTGAAAGTTATACTAGAAATGTAAAGCACATAGTTTAGTGCACACTACAATGCTTAAAGTCCACAAAAAAATTAAGCAGTACAACCCTAAGTGTACTGTGACAAAGAAAAACTATTCCTTGGTTATGGTATACCATAATTTGGCTATACCTTCCCAGCCTTTGTAAAACGAACAAGGTCCTACTCAGGATTATATTTTCAGTTGACCTTGTTGATGTATATTGCTTTCATTGTCTGATTAACTGAATAAGCCAGCAGATGGGACCTTATTCGCTCCTGTAGGACGTTGTGCCGAACATTATTATGCAATGCAAACGCACACCCAAAAGTCATTAACTGATATACAGGTGCATAAACTGGCCTAAAATTGTATTTGGCACTTATCAAGGGTCACATGGTGCCACCAACCTCTGCAGGAACAGAAGTTCCAATACCGAGCCAGCACTTGCATTATACAAATATGGCTTCTTTTTAAGATTGTCCATCTGCTCCACGGGCAGCACCCAGCCACCAAAGTTCTCTCGCGTCTTTGTTGTTTTTTCTAGATGCATGGCGAGTACTGCAATGCAAAATAAATAGCTGAAATTAATGGCTAGTATCAAGTCAACGTAGATGCAAGGGAATAGAAAAAGACCATGCTAAATGAATAATCCTTCTTCAAGAATATATATATGTTTTGTCCCATACAGGCTGTATATTCCCAGGATCTCAAAAGTAAAACTTACCAAACTTCAGCTGTTTCCTACTTTAAGTGCAAGGCATTTTTAGCAAACTTAAGGAACTTTGCACGTTTATATCTACACACCAATCTATGCATCTAGCTACCTTTACCGGAGTGCTCTCAGCAATCGCCTACTTAACATAATGTAGACCGAAATTGACATGGGAGGGTAAGACAGTTTGACTGTCTGGTCACAACATGAATAATGTGAAAATACTGCTGCGTCTGCCACCAAACTCTTTCCTCCAGACACGTGTGTCATATACTCATATCCCACGGGTTGTGGTATACAGGTATGCACTACAGGTGATTAACAGTTCATACCTACCCATGAACAATGAGAATAGACATGGGCAATTTAAGTGTGAGAGCACTAAGAAGAGCTTACATCAGGACCCCAGACGTGACAAATGCACAGAATAAAAATTAGGGCCCTAGCAAGAATCAAATTCAGCTTGGCATTCAGGTATTCATCACAAAGCCACGCCAGGTCTAGTGACTGCCTTTGAAAAAGACCCTATGTAGGCGGCATGCCAGTGCAATTTTAACTGTGGTTGTAGTGCTGGCTATATAATTTTATAAGAAAGTAATAAACACTATGCATTCTTACGACAAAAGACTCATGTTGGGTTTGTTTGCTGTGCTTTTATTGCAGTCTAATAAACTTATCATTTTCAATCCTATGAAAATGATAATGATTCCTATGAAAGCTGATAATGATTCCTATGAATTGAAATGAATCCTATGAAAGCTATATCCAAGCTTTTGCTTGACTGCAGAGCAACAATACGCGAACAAAACTTATGTATGAATATTCTCATTATCGCCCTGTAGCGTGCACATTGCTTCGATGACTGTGCTCCAACGTGAGTGCTGATATGTCAGACCAATGTTTCATGAGTTACCATTTGAACATATTGTAGTCAGCATGTCTAAAACCTAAGTGTACACAACACCTCAATCCACCTCGTAACGCTTAACTCAATTTAAGCCAAAAAATGCAGCACAGAACTACTGGCTTTACATGACACTGATTCCCACAAGGCGTGGGTTCTGCCTAATTTTTTTTCTCTTTTTTTCTGGTAATGCTTACCGAATAAAAACTACTTTGGAGCCCAGACTAAAGAGCAACGCAGCCAAATGCGATTCAGAACTAGAGGTACTCAACGGCGCTGCGAAAAATGCGCGCACGGCGAACGGCAAGAAAGGATAAACCGTTTCCTGTCAAGCTACCGAAACCTCACAGAAATACGACACGGTTCCTTTCCGTGCGTACGCGCATGCGCGCTCGTCAGCCGGTTCCTTTCCGTAACGTGTTTCGGTAGCTTGCTAGAAACCTCTAATGACGAGCGTTCGCTATCAGTTCCCAACTGTGTCGCCGCGGGGCAATGCGCACCGTCTTATCTCGGGTTGGCACCACAGGAGCTCAATGGCTTATCGAACGCGCGCTCCACAGATCACAGCTCGACATCCGCCCAGTCGCTCCGCGTGCAAAGAGCGCACAACTGGACGAAGGAAAGGTCACAACCAGATTGGCACTAGTCGCAACTATCGCGTAGTCTCTATCTCGCAAGTCCTGGCACGACGCGAGCGGCGTGTTATCGTGGAAAGTAGCCGCGGGCTCAGCATTTCGTCAGCTCACGTGGGACACGCATGTGAAATTTCCTCGGAGGAGAGAGAGGGCAGACTGCCGGGATAGACAAACTCCACCTCTCTCTGGATCCCGTGTGCGTACTCGAACGGCAGGAGCCAAACCGTGACGTGCGCGGAAAGATTTCTCAAAACACTTGCGCAACACACGAAGCAAGACGGTCGCAATATGAAAAACAAGCACGCGTTCAAGGCTACCAAGGCTATTCACGCAGTGTCCCGGACTGCAGAATGTGGACCTCGATGATAGAAACGATATACGCTAGCTTGAGATGCCTACATCAGCATTTGCAGGCGTTACGACGGTCGCTTCTTCTGACCCGTTTGCCAAAAGAGAGAGCGTTTTTACAAACGTGTTCACATTTTATAACGATATTTACCCCATCTAAGTGGCGCGCGCTATCCCCCTTCACTAACTGAACTTCAATGGCAGAAGTACTCGCTATGCTACGCTACATTTTATTCAACACTTTGGCGAATGTTACGCGAACTGCTGCTGCCGGGTCAAGGTATCCGTGTATCTCACATGTGATCGACGTCGCGCGTATTCGCCGGAAACAAGAACGTTAACGATCGCTCTCGCGATGGAGAAAACGTAAATTATGAAGCACATGTGAAACGCGTTTCAAGCAACTCGTAACGCTGACAACTGACGAATGCCATGGCATGCTACGAATCAACATAAATTTGCAGCCACAAAACGCGCCGCAGTAGCGATCGACAGCTTTTATTTCTGACGATGGTCAGAGCTCTCCACGCAAGTTCCTCGCCACGATTCTGGCAAAATCTGATCATTAAACGCTGATGTAAAACGTCAATGTGCTCCTGCAGTTCGGGTAATAGAAACAGCTACACACATTCGTCAGGTGAAATTAAACGCGCAGTTTCTACAAACGGCGACTGCAGAAAACGTAACTCGAAGTGGCACCAAATTCGAAATTCGGTCTTGCCCCGCAATACAGCAAAAATATTTGTATACGCACTTACGCAGTAGTACAATCCACGCAAGCAACAATCCTCCACCGTTGGTTGATAATCACAGCAGTTGACACGAACGAATGACCACACGACGTAAACATATACGATTCTGAAAGCTCATACACGCTGCACGCCACTCGGAGGTTTCGTTTCCACTGGCTGGCGGATTCATAGAGGAGGAGGTAGAGGATAGTTGAGAGAAGATGGAATCGGAGAGAGGCAAAGAGCATCGGCGAGGCTAGCGCTCCTTGCGGAAAGGACTTCTAACAAAATATTCCTTCAAAGAGAAGGCAAATATAACCCAAACAGGCAGGCATGCGTTCACTGGGACGGTCTAGATAACAGATAGTACATTCGGTCGGCTCTTATTTATGCATTTTGTCTCCGTGGCTGCGGTGTAGATTCTGTAGCGGTGGCTTTTTGCAAAAGCAAAAAAAGCACGAGATTAACACATTTGAATTTACCCAGAATGATCCTGCGACCAAAGAAAAATTGACGCTATGGGGCTGGTGCACAAGTTCGATTTTCATGCGGATCACAATCAAATGATCTGCTTTGTTCGGGCCATTAAATTTCTGATATTTGTGAGCGCATTAAAATGGCTTCGGACAGTATGACAGATGTGTTAGTAACTTGTAACACACCTTATCAGCTACACATATTCACTAGGCATCACTATAAATGCAATCTTGTCAATCAACACAAAGGTACTGCATCATTACTTAAATAAATACCCAAGAGAAAATTATTCACATGTATTAGCAGCTAAATCAGCCTTTCACAATGCCGAAACTAAGCTCTTACTGATGAAGACATGTGTAGACCAGAAAAAGAAGAAAACAGGGGTGGCAACAGAGCCTCGTAAAATTTTTACACCATATTCATTATGTGCCAATGATGGATTGTATTATCTTCTACAGGGAGCAATCCATTTTTTTAAATTCATTGTATAGTGAACAAGAGATGGAAAGGAGGACAGGGAAATAAAACAACTGATACAAGGACAATTGGTTCTCTAGAGAACTGAACATGGCAAGTTTTGGTTGCTTTTACCAAGCAAAAGCAGACCAAAGAAAAAGAATAGTATACCATTGAAATGTGAGGCATCCCGCCAAAGTAGCAGCTTTGCGTTGCGTCATGAAGTTAAACTTTTCTTTTTTTGTGTGTTAATGAAACTATGCCATGAAATTGGCAGCAATACAGTTCTGAAAATAAAATTGTAGGTCTAAATTGATTTAGTATTTTACCATACTACATGCCATTCCGTGCAGGTCAATAGGTGTGGCATATTCCTGGCATTGTATTTACGATACAGTTGCGATCACTTAATCACTTCCGAGACTAAGCATAGCATCCCAACAATACCAGAGGTCATCTAGCAAAGAAATCAGTGCACCCACTCCCAGTGACAACACAATGTAATCCTTTGAAATTTGTACAGGACAATTAAGAAAAACAAAGATAACACGAAGATACACAGACAGGTTGTTAGCTTATGCTTTTATTTGATGCACAGCATCAGCAATATCTCAGCATATTTATACAAAACAAGTCACTCATTCAACATAACTTTCATACAGTAATATGTGCTGAAGAGCACTTTTTCATCCTGTATATAAATTTACAGTTGGCATGTTCCTACAGTGAATGAATTCACTAGGGAAAGTTGACACAAGGCAATAATTTTTGTAATTACATATTTTTCTGGTGGCTTAGATGCGAAATTATTTGCTGATTATTCTTCAATAAAGTAAGTAAGCTCTAACCAATGTTTATGAGGGTCTTTTTGTATTGAATGTACTACAATTACAGAATTCAAAACCATTGAATGCTCTATTTTGCTAAGCAGTTAACAGTACCGAATGGTTTAGAACACCTGTCCCAGACATCTGTACACAAAACACAAAAATATTTTGCATAATTTCACCCAGTTATCCTCAGAAAAGTTCTGTATTGTTAACTTATAGGAGTGACACGTGCGAGTTCTGTCATTAGCTTAGACATGGACATCTTAAAGCGCAATCTAACCTTCGAGTTCCTGTTGAATGGATGTGCATTCAGCACCGATCGTCTTCAATTCTGCAACTGCAATAATCCCTGTGATGTTAGGCAAGTTTACGAGCTCTAGTCAAGTTATGACGATTATTGCATTCTTCCCGCTACAGTGTTTTAGCAACAAAAATTATGACCCAGTCTCAAAATTCCTTACTTTCAGCAGTTCTCTCATCGTTCGTAAGAGGAATCCGCAGCTAGTGAGAACTCTTCACTGAAACGCCTGGCTAATGTATGTACAGAGATTAAAAAAAAAAATGAACACAGATGATGAACACAGAAAGCGCACGACTTCTTAGTTGTCAGGCAGGGAGGCTGTAGCGATGACGACATCCTCTCCTTCAAGACTGTCCTGTTGCTGGTCGGCTAAGGCTAATGTCTGGTCTTGTTGGAGTGCTAGTTGTTGCAGTGCTAACAACTGCGCAGGGTTAGCCACGAGCAGGATTTGTTGGCCGGATGGCGTCTGAACCAGCGTGCCGTCTTCCTGGAGTGAGAGAAAATGTACAGCCGGATTGAAGCTCACTCTCCCAAGTCCTTTAAAAAAAATTTTTTTTTCAATAGAGATGAGCAGTCTGAGAAGAGTTGTCCGAGTGATTTTTTTTATGGATGAGCCTTATGCAGTTAAACCTCGATATAACAAAGAAAGTAATGACAGCAATACTATGTCCCATCAAAACATTGCTAAATTAAAATTTGACCTTTTAAGTAAGGTAGCATAGTCGCTGATGGCTTCTTTTGTGCTTAGGAAGTGACAGAAGAATCTTTTAATAATGCGGCGGTAAAGAAAACTAACTTCAACAACCCCTCCAAAAAAATTCAGGAGCTTTTCCCCAACCAGGAAAATTAGGGTATGCAAAGCTTGGCACGGGCGTGTCTGACGTACTGCTTTTCTTTCTTTGTCCTATCCTTCTCTCTTTACAGGTAGCGGCCATCCCCTGAATGCTGTTTTCTGGCGGAATCAGCATCATTCATGTTATTTCTATTGTTCATCAGCATGCTGAACAGCCAAACAAAAGGATGAACACCAGCTACCACCAGGTCAGTCAATAAAATGAGTTTCGCTTGAAAAACAAGTATTTTTTAAATCTAAGATCCAGTGAGCATGGCTTGCTTGATGACGTACTGGCAAAGCCTCATCACAGCGGCCAAATATCGCGAGTAAACCTGAGAAAAATGCAGTCGCAATGCGTTGTAGTAACACTGGAATACCAAAGCCACCGCGCCTGCCGAAAATCAAAGCACCATGTCGGGCGCTGATGCATGCCACTTGTGGCACAGAATACAAAATTACACTGCATAGAGACTGTAGAATAGTGAACACAAGTTCTCGCATGCGACAAATTAGCCGTATGCTTTTTTTTTTTTCCGCTTCACCGCTCCGAAGTTGTCCCATTTACTTCGCAGCATGCCCTGAAACTGCTGTCAAAAATTGGGGTGGCGAGCGACTACTATTCAACAGTCATTGACCATCACCCAGCCCATATTGGAAAAATGTGTTGGCCTCGTAACTACATGCGTATTAGCCATATAATCACAGGCTCCAGCAGTAGTCTCAGTCAATCGCTTCAGCCTTCCTCTGTAACGTCAATGAAACTTCCTTACATCGAAATTGCCGATCAACACGCTTCATTATAGTAGTGAACTTCAAAATACACGGTGTTGCATGGACATCAGGTTGTGTAAAGTGATACAACACATCATATCGGAAATTCCATTATACTATTGAAGTACATTATAAATAGGTGTAACTGTATAACCAAAAGTTAGTTGTACTCGACCTGTTGGGCAATGTTGGCATGCAGACTAAATACAACGTATATTAGTACTAAGATTACATAGGTGCGCTCCTATGCATATGCCTCATACTAGTAAATGCTTCATGCACTGTTGCAGTTCTACTTATGAAAATCTATTATATTTTTCTCACAAGCAGCATATGTTAGTCCCACAGCTTCACTCAACATATTTTATTGCCATAGAAAGAGCTGATATTTTAGAAGCACTGGCATGTACGTAAAAAGCGGGGAAATCCGCAAAGCACTTGCCTGTAATGTCTGTGGGTCAAATGAGAGGCGCAGAGTATTGTCACCGCCTGTAGCTGGTGACTGCTGTACCACCAATGTTGTAGTGCTGGGTATGCTGGACATGCCCCCTGCCCGGCGGCGTCTCCCTGTCGGGCTCGTCTCCTCCATGATCCCTGCTGCATCTTGTATCGTTCCTGCTTCGTCCAGATCTCCTTCCATTTCTTCTTCTTCCACTCCGAGCTCTGAACGCGATAAGAAAGAAATAGAAGCACCAATAAGTCACTAAGCTTGCACAAGTGCTTCAAGGAATGGGAAAGAAAAGCCTTAAAGTAAAGCGAAACCAGCAAAAGAGAAACCATGCATGAAAGACCATGTACAGAGGCTGGACGTACACATCCATAGACATGAGAGAATGTACTGCTGCAAAAGAACATCGTTAAAAAAGTAAGCGATGTGAATATTACAGGAATTGCCATAGATGTGCACAGGGTTTTTCATTAACAATGAAGGGGGGAGGGAAGGGGCAGAGCTTTTAGCACAGCACACTCCACCTCCCATTTTACTACTGCTCAAGTCCAAAAAGAACTAGAAAAGAAGAGGATATATCCAATAACAAAACTGAAACTTGGTTATGCTCCTCTCAACATCCTGTCTTTGGTCTTCGACTTTCTTGTGATAAAAGTTGGAAGTAAACAGTTTTGGCATAACATGAGTGATCTTCAGGAACCATTATCACCACGAACCTGCATAAGGTAATGGGCAGATTTGGCACCCTCCTACGATGATTACAGGGGAGAAAACTACCCACCTTGTCTCCACCGTACACACGCCTATGGATGGTGTTACCGTGGTTGCCATTAGAGGCAGCAATAACTTTTTCACTCGCCTTGATTTTTTGCAACAATGTAAACACAGAGATGAACATGCATTATGTGATGGGTTAACATGATGGTACTGCATACCGGACTATCATTTTATTTAGTATCGTACACTGTACCTGTTGGATTGAGTTGATATAGAATATATACTTATGAATGCATCCAACCATCTTTATCGCTTTCAATTTGCTTTGCTTACTTTTCCAGTCAAATTAACTTTTGATAGACTCTGCTTTAGTAGATACCCACTACAATACATAAGTTTCGAAACAAAATCAGTTAAAATGGCTTTAGCACAATGCCCGGTACTGCGGTGACATGTACGTGCGACAGTGCGCTTTATAAAGCTACTTCAAGCCCCTTACACAATGTGTCAAAATGCACCATTTCTTCAAAAGACACTACTGATGAATATTAGGTCAATATACATTGTTAAAGTACTCTTTCAAAAACTTAACAGCCCAGCTTTCATGCAAAAAAAAATATTCCATATGAGAAAATCACTTGACTTTTGCACAATCACACGAATACAAATTAAATCCAATTCACAAGCCTCCAAGCAACAGAATAACAATGCACAAGCATTCACTGCCTATTAAAGACCCACAGACAGTGCTACTATTTTTTGCCTACAAATATGCCTAAAATGCAAAAGCGTAATCGGAAAGATGAACTTTAGTAGGTTAGAAGTTAGGCCGTTTGGTGATGCACACGTGGTGAAATGAAGTGCAATAAATGGGACAACAAAAGGTGGAGGCAAACAGGACAAAGTGCTACAGACGGGGATACTAGCTTGTATAGTGGCCAATATTCAAAGCTGTAGCACTTCGTCTTATCTTTCTCACTTTTGCTGTCCAGTTTATTGTGTTTCATTTCACCACTCCGTCGGAAGGCGACTCAATGACATTACAGACTCTGCATTTTCTCTTACTTGCAGTTAAAGTGAGTTTTGCGGTCAAGCGCTGCCAACGAAGCCCTACATGTTAACTCGGAACAAGCAGTGATGTCATTTTTCTTGCCAACTGAGATCGCTTGCTAGATGCTAGCATTGTTGATGTCATATGCTTCCTGAACAATCGTAACTGCTTCCTGAATAATCGTAACGGCAACGGGTCTCCAAAAGGTACACCAGCGCAAATGCCGTGTGTGTGTTTTGATTGGCTGGCGGCAAAGGGGCGAGTTCCGGCAGACGGCAAAAAATCACTCAGACAGCGATTTCCCTTGCCGCTTCGCTTCCCATCCGCTTTCATCGCCTGGAGAGGAGCTTTTTGCTGCTTTCCGCTTTGCCGCCTTGCCACTTTGGATGCCCCACTTTCAGTGTAAACGAGCTTTCACAGTTGTGCTTGTAACTTGACATGCGATAATAATAAACATACCCAATCGGCCACTGATGCATGGCATACATGGTACAAAATACAGAACTACACTGTTTAGAGACAGTAGAATAGTGAGCAACATGACATGGCAGGGTTCCCGCATGCCCTGCCTCTCCGATGCCTTGAAGGCAGGAAGAGCCCCTATATAAACCTTTTCCCACCTAGTCACTGCTGGAAAGATGCTGCTCTGCTTCAGTAGCCTCTCCCTCGTGCGAGGCACTCATTTTGAATAAACGTATTTGTAAATATCATGTGCAGTTCAACGACTGGCATTCACAGAAGTTGCAATTTATTGTCTCCATTTTACCCAACCATAGCAGTGAAACTTTTGTACACTGCAACTGTGGATAAACATGCTTCACTATATTGAGGTTACAGCTACACGGTGTTCTTTGGATATGAAGTTATAAAAAGTTAAAACAGGTACCTTACTATGTAGAGAATTTTATTATACTGAGGATTAACCGTAGCACGAACCATTCCCACTAGGTAATTATGGTCTGTTGTAACCGCTGTTCACTGTGTTTAGAATGAATTTTGTGGTTGCCTCTTGATTTCTGCACTGACACAATGGAATACATTACACAAGCGTCAATTTCAATTCAAGCTCATGACATAATCTCGACTTAAGATCCTTTTAATATATATGCATGCACCTTGCATGCATATATATGCAGAGTCATTTTCAAAAAGGTGAAGAGTAATGCACAATGTAATGTACGGCATCTAGGGAGACAAAAAGAAAGCAGGAGTCATGGCTCACCAAGGCAGGCGTCGTCAATGAGCAAGCCATGCGCTGTCCGCTTGTGCATGGCCAGGGTGGAGGTCTGGCGATAGTTCTTGCCACACAGATTGCACATGTATGGCTTATTGTGCGTGTGCACCACGTGGTGCTTGTACAAGGACGAGTACTCGGTGAAGCGCTTGCCACAGGACGGCACTGTGCACACGTAAGGCTTCTCACCTGCACGTGTAGCACAAAGCAAATGGCTAAAGTTGGCCAGGACGCCCGTGATACAGCTTGCCCAAGTACAGTAGACACCTAATTAAAGGAAACTTTCTTAAATGAAATTGCTGCTTAAATGGAACAACTGCCTGTAATATGTTTGGTTTGGTACTTGAATATTGTACTCCTGTTTATCTCTCAATAAAGGAAACTCCTCAAAAAGGAAACACATTTTCCTGGTCCCTTCAGGTTTCATTTAAGGGGGGGCGCGGCAAGTAAAGTGCCGATTTTGGTCAAAATATGCGATTTTCTGATTTATTTTTTTTCGTAATCTTCAGACCTTCAACTTCCTTGTTCTAAAATATTACAGCGAAACGTGCGCTACAAATCCCGCAAATAGTGTTTTTGCCGAGGCTAGTCGCCGAAAAGTGCGAAAAAAAAGCCCCTGAAACGGTGTTGTTCACGCCGCACAAACGCGCCAAGTTGTTGACCGTCGCCCATCTTTCTCCCTGAGGCTTGAGTTTGTATATTGTTACTTGCTCGGCTTTGTTTGGGAAAGGGTTTTCTACTGATGTGGGCCACGGGAGCGGCCGTCGAAGACGACACACTCCGACTGACAAGAAAATATGCCGCGTCGATAGTGGCGATTGGTTTGGTGCCCCGGTAGGGCGGAGTCGGGTCCTACAAAAAGGGACTACGAGACGATACGAGCAGGGTCAGAGATACGATGCGAAGGGAGCCAGACAGATACGATGCGATGAGCTCAAGATGGTAGAGAGACAGAATTGAGAAGTAACATAACGGTGCGAGGAGATAGCGATGAGAGGCGATGAGATGATGACTGGGGCAAGGACGGTACGATGAGGAATGGCAGTTAGGGATAGGAGGCGAGTGAATGGAGCGTTATGAAAGAGGGCTAAGATGAAAATCACTGAGAGGCACGGCATAGGCGATGCTGACGAAGACGATGAAGATGCTGACAAATTGGACAGATTAGACCTCGATGCCAAGAACCAACCTTCGGCCCCGATTTGAACAGCCAACTCCGAGGCCCCAACTACATGGACATTCTGTGAGACGAACTTCATCTCCCTTACTTAAACGAGCTTTGCGGGAAGGGATGCGGCATATTGAGACATTGCGCAGTTTTATTAATTAATGACTTTATCATTTGTGTCGTCGTGTGTTTTTTTATATGCATACTCTTGTATTGTAGCAGTTTCTTTATGTGCCTGCCCTGTGTCGAACGTCGCGAGTGTCTAAATCATGTGTTATAATTTTGTGTAGTGGTTGATGTACGCGGGTATACGATGTTTGCAATTAGTATTAAATTTAATGAATCAGTAAACAGAAACAGGTCGTAGCGTCTCTTACTTCCCGGCCCCAGCACGAATCCCTGTATGTGGAAAGTGATTGAGACACATAGCCAAGAGGGAACCGGATAGACAAGGGGTTGAGTGGTCTTCCCTCTCTTTGGTAATCGGTGGCGTAGCGGGGGACGTCTCAACATATGCTTCCTGAACAATCGTAACTGCTTTCTGAATAATCATAACGGCAACGGGTTTCCACAAGGTACACCAGCGCAAATGCCGTGTGTGTGTTGTAACTGGCTGGCGGCAAAGGGGCGAGTTCCGGCAGACGGCAAAAAATTGCTCAGAGAGTGGCTTCGCTTCCCATCCGCTTTCACCGCCTGGAGAGGAGCTTTTTGCTGCTTCCCGCTTTGCCGCCTTGCCACTTTGGATGCCCCACTTTCAGTGTAAACGAGCTTTCACAGTTGTGCTTGTAACTTGACATGCGATAATAATAAACATACCCAATCGGCCACTGATGCATGGCATACATGGTACAAAATACAGAACTACACTGTTTAGAGACAGTAGAATAATGAGCAATACGACATGGCAGGGTTCCCGCATGCCCTGCCTCTCCGATGCCTTGGAGGCAGGAAGAGCACCGATACAAACCTTTGCCCACCTAGCCACTGCTGGAAAAGATGCTGCTCTGCTTCAGTAGCCTCTCCCTCTTGTGAGGCACTCATTTTGTATAAACGTATTTGTAAAACTCATGTGCAGTTCAACGACTGGCATTCACAGAAGTTGCAATTTATTGTCTCCATTTTCTCCAACAATAGCAGTGAAACTTTTGTACACTGCAACTGTGGATAAACATGCTTCACTACATTGAGGTTACAGCTACATGGTGTTCTTCGGATATGAAGTTATAAAAAGTTAAAACAGGTACCTTACTATGTAGAGAATTTTATTATACTGAGGATTAACTGTAGAATGAACCATTCCCACTAGGTAATTATGGTCTGTTGTAACAGCTGTTCACTGTGTTTAGAATGAATTTTATGGTTGCCTCTTGATTTCTGCATTGACACAATGGAATACATTACACAAGCGTCAATTTCAATTCAAGCTCATGACATAATCTCGACTTAAGATCCTTTTAATATATATGCATGCACCTTGCATGCATATATATGCAGAGTCATTTTCAAAAAGGTGAAGAGTAATGCACAATGTAATGTACGGCATTTAGGGAGACAAAAAGAAAGCGTGAGTCATGGCTCACCAAGGCGGGCGTCGTCTATGAGCAAGCCATGGGCTGTCCGCTTGTGCATGGCCAGGGTGGAGGTCTGGCGATAGTTCTTGCCACACAGATTGCACATGTATGGCTTATTGTGCGTGTGCACCACGTGGTGCTTGTACAAGGACGAGTACTCGGTGAAGCGCTTGCCACAGGACGGCACTGTGCACACATAAGGCTTCTCACCTGCACGTGCAGCACAAAGCAAATGGCTAAAGTGGGCCAGGATGCCCATGATACAGCTTGCCCAAGTACAGTAGACACCTAATTAAAGAAAACTCTCTTAAATGAAATTGCTGCTTAAATGGAACAACTGCCTGTAATATGTTGGGTTTCGTACTTGAATATTATACTCCTGTTTATCTCTCAATAAAGGAAACTCCTCAAAAAGGAAACACATTTTCCTGGTCCCTTCAGGTTTCATTTAAAAGGAGTCTACCGTATGCTTGAACGTGTTTCAAGCACTTTCTCACGCGGTCTTCCAAGCACTTTATCGAACTAAAATATTGTCCTGAATGGCAACAGAAGGGCTAGAGAAACACACAAACCGCAGCTACAAAAACCAACCATTTTACAGCTGTATAATAATGTTTTAATCGACCAAGTATATGCTGAGAACAACAATTACAGTGATTATTTTAATGTTACGAAAAATAGCCCTAATCAAATGCTGGCCCATTTTAACAAGAATGAAACGTAAAAATGGCTGCGCATTTCAACCTGGGTGCATTTGAATAAATTGAGGCAGTTAATGTCAAGCTGGACGCCGCTGCTACAACATGGCCTTATCAGTAAATTGTAGTTTTGGCATTTAAAACTCCTGGAATTTCATTTCATTCGTCTTTCTAAATTCTATAAACAGTAAACTTTCAGTTCACGGTTATCTCTTAAATGAAACTGCTAGTAACTTGATTGGTTTCATAATTGGATTTCGTATCCATTTTTCTCCCTCAGTAGACAAAACTCCTGTTACACAGAACGTATCTTCCTGGTCCTTTCATGTTTCGTTTGACGAGAGTTGACTGCACTGCACACCGTTAGGCCAGGAAAAAGCCTGTCACAGGTGTAAAAAGTGAAACAGGCCTGCGGAAACACTGACCTGTGTGAATTCGTATGTGATTTTTGTAGTTTGTTGCACTGGCAAATGAACGACCACAGTTCTCCTCCTTGCAGACGTATGGTCGCTCGCCTGTGTGCGTGCGCATGTGCACCTTTCGGATGTTCGATGTGGTAAAGGCACAATTGCAATCCTCAAAAGGACACTTGAAAGGCCGTTCCCCTGCAAAAGTAAACAGTGACACAACATTTGCAATGCACAATGAATGATCGCCGCTCAGAAGTGCAAGCAAACCTAAATAAACACCATCTGCAGTTGATTAGATAACACATACCCGGCACTAAATTTGCAAACAATACAGTTAACATCCGATTTATGGAAAAGGTGAAAGTGAAAATAGCATTAAATGGTGCACTTATGCGTCCGAGAAATGCTTACAACCAGAGAAATACTAAAAAAGCATTCTGTAATATACCGTATTTACTCGCTTAATGAACCCACTCACATAATGAACCCACCCCCACATTGGTCCTTGAAAAAAAAAAAAGTACTTATTCATGTACGTTCATTTTATTTCAGTGAGATAACTAGTGCCATTTACGATCGAAACAACGTTACATTACACTATTATATCACAAATAAGGACACAGTAAAAATAAAAACATAGTTTAATATCGATGCTAAACAGTTGCGAGCAGCGCAAGCACGCACGGCGTCAATCAAAATTTAAAAGTGGCACCATCTGTTGAGCATAGAAGAAACCTCTTTGCTTATAGTAGCACCACACAAGCACAGCGGTGTGAAAAAGCAACAAACAAAGCGCAACCTGCTGCATTGACAAGGTTCGCCCACAAGGTCGCAGCAGTGCGTGCACCAACATCCGACGCTGCATTTTTGATGTCAGTTTTGTTGTAGTGAACTTCGTTGGAAATCTGCTGCGCAGGGCATGATTGGCAGGTTTTAAACTTATAGTTTGTCAAGTATGCTACGTAGCATGGGAACCGAGCGGCTGGACGACACTTCGGCGTCAGTACGTGTGTGTTCGTTGCGGGAGAAAAAAAAGCATCGGGCAACAAAAAAGGTTCGTAATGCATTTTGTGGGCGAAAACGAGGACAGCTCTTCTTGTGGAGAGCGAAGTTCTCGAATAGGTGCTCCATATTCCTGCCACTACTAAGCTGAAGGCCAACATCGGTTGGACAGCGTGTTTCTTATTACCGTCATGCAAAATGTTTGCCGTTATAGCTTCCATTACTTTTTTTTTTTGTCCAACGTAATGAACCCTCCTCCCAAATTGGCGTCAACTTTGCTGAAAAAAAAAAAAAAAAGACAGGTGGGTATTTACCCAAGTAAATACGGTAGTCGTTTTAAACCCTTTCAAAAACTTTTTTACGGTCACTTGTGTGGAGTGGCTATTGACTTTTACAAGATTCAAACGTTCATGAGAGCCGATAACAAGCAATAGGAACTGCAAATGTAAGGAATCGTAGCAAGCTTATAGCATCTCCAGAAATCTTTCTGAGACCCACTAGAAATGATATCGTACAATTTATGTTTCATTACAATTTTTTAAGAACACAACTGCACAGTAAAATGAACGCCGACACGAGCGAACATTGTCTAAGATGAAATTAAATACCAGTTTTAGTCCTGCACTAATTCTTATGCATTATTCCAAGATGGTTGTCTATGATTCAGGTGGAAGAGCACTGCAAGGCAGCCATAGAGGCATACCTGTGTGTGTGCGGACATGCTTCTGCAGGTCTCCCGACGTCTTGAAAGTCTTAATGCAGCCATCGTGTGTGCACCGGTAGGGAGTCTCGCCTGTGTGTACACGTGTGTGGCTCTTGAGGCCATAGCCGGTCACGAAGCTCTTGTTGCAGCCATCCACAAGGCACTTGAAAGGTCGATCGCCTGTGTGTGCACGCCCGTGTACCTGCCCCATAAGGTACAATAGATTACAATCGGGAGAACAGTTTGGACAGGCTTGCCAAAACAACACTCCATTCAGTACTTGAGAAAACTACTACAATGCTTTAAAGGGGCACTAAAGAGAAACATAATTTTTCTCGCAATGGCAAGTTACTCTTTTATAAGACCAAAAACAGGCTTGCAGCAAGAAGCCATTTGGTAAGTGAGAAAACACACCAAAAGAAAATGCAGATGGCAACACCGCCCTGAAATTCCTACAGCAGTAGTCGTGACATCATAGATTTTGATTGCGTCGGCTAGGTCCAGCATAGTTCGTAATCAGTAAAGATGAAGTGCACTGTCTTCTGTGTAAACCAGGGAGTTACCTAGTTTTAGAAAACTTTTCTGAATGAATGCAGCCAAAATACGAAAAAATAAAATAAATAAATAAAATAAAATACAGTTTTAAATCTCCGACATCACCATTGGAGATTTTGATGCAAAATGTGAAAGTGCTACTTTTGACTGATTATTTCTTCTAATAATGAACTAACATTTGTGAAATAAACCCCACCACCAATTACAGCTTAGAAATTATCCGTCTAAAATAGTTTAGTGTTTCACTATTCACAACTTTCAGGTACCGTGGCGTCGCTGAGCTCCAGCAGCCGGAAGCTCGGTTGAGATAATCGAAGTTTTGGAAATGCTTCAAACAGCAGATGTTGCTGCTTGTTTCCACGTTTGTGGTCTTTTTCAACGTTGTGAACGGCGTCGATATTACCGTAACTCCTTGAGTTTCTCAAGTTAAAGGGAGTGTAGAAAGAAAAAGCAAACTGATTTCACTGCGAGAGACTATGCTCACAGCCTATATACACCGGGAGGAAAAGTAAGCCTTCTGTTCAAATTAGTGCCCCAAAAGGCCATGAGTGGTTAAGGGGGTTAAATTTAGCAGGCAAATAACCAAGGCCCATGAATGTATGCAGCACCCATTTTGTGTACGAGTACAGTAACTTCCAGGTTTGCAGTTTTCGCACTTAGTTCGTCTGCTCAACACAGTCGCTGTGCAAACAGTACCAGAACTAAATTGGCAATGTCTTCTGTCTCTAGAATAGAATGAAGGAACTGGTTTCAAAACGTTCATCGCATCATCACACATCTGAGGTGTCTGTGCCTCCATGACCTTCACACTTGCAGCAATTTTTGTTCGGTCTAACTTGCTTATGGCGCTTTGTTTTTGTCATTTCTACCCAGCACCATGCTACCTTTTATACTTCTCAAATGCCAAAACATAGAATTAGTATTAGGAACGTAACCTCTTAAACGTGAAAATTGCATATTACCACTGGTTTCTTTCGCTGTTTGCGACTTCATTCTTTTCATATATCTGTTGTTTTTGTTTATCAAAAAAGCACCCTGAAATCATATTCCGATGTATTATGACGTGCTTCAGTTGTTTCTTGTGCTTCGGTATTGAAAAAGAACAATTTTTTGTCTGTTTGTTCTACTTCTTGGTTTTAGGTGAGCTGAACCAGCTTCGCACACAATGCAATGCAAGCAAAACTAAAATAAAGCGACTCTCCGAAAATGTTTCTGATATTACTGAGAAATTTGTACCGAGGCGCCCATTAAAATACTCTTACAACATGACACAACGTTGCATGCAATTACGCACAGCCAGCATTGTGAACAGCGTACGTGTTGGCCTTATTTACAGTTTTGCGCATATTGATCTGCCCAATGTGCTAATGTGCTACACGGCTGTAAGGTCTGGCGTCTCAGGCCAAGGGGGGTGAGTTTTTTTTGTCGCAACTGGGCGCGCTTCCCAAAGAGCCGATTCTCGGGAGACGATAATCCCGGCCTACGGAGGACTGTTCTGGTAAGAAGACCGTGGTCGGTCGCCGCTTTTAACAACCAGCTAGGTGGTCCTCGGCCAGCGGATTGCCGGCGGGCGACGTGAGGACAGTGTATAGACACCTATCCATCTGGATTAGAGTTCACGGGACGGCTGTCACGCTGGACAGCATAGTCATCCTGCAGCAATGGCATGGGCCTGCAGCCAATCGGCGCCACCATCGCGTGCGTTCGCACAGTTCGCGGAACGTAGTGTGCAGGTCGGTCCTTTCGTCTCTCTCTCTCCGACCGAGCAGTCGAGTGCTTGAATAGGAGAGCGAGAGGAGAGGACGCAAAACAAGTGTTTAGTCTGTCCAATAAACAGACTGAATTGCTTTGGTTGGCTGTGAGGAGGATCGGGAGGGGCAACCGAGGGGTTCAAACCTGGCTCCCGTTTCCTCACGGTGGTTCTGGTCGCAGCAAAGAGTGCTCTGCATTATCGCCTCTGCCGAGGCAACATGCGGCGGTTCCAACGGTGAAAGATTCTTGTAAATATGTACATAAGTTCCTGTACATAAAGTCAAGTTGTTGCAACGTATTGAAAGGCGCTGGTCTCCATCATTTACAAGCAGCAGCAGCAGCTACGACAAGACAAGACGGACACCAAGCAACCAACCTTCCACTTTCTTCTATAGCAATAGCCACTACGCAGCCAAGAGAGCTCTGCTCAAGGGAACAGAAGAAGTGGGCAGAAGGTTGAGTTTTACTCCGGCATTTAATTACTTAATATAGCATGTTAGTGCTCCCCTACTTTCTCAAAAACATAAATTAAAGGGCCACCGTAGCGCCAAGAATTTCACTCATCGCCAAAAGTGTACTTTGCGATACCGTTTTTCTTGGAAGGATCATCTCAACGACCACCAGATTGGATGTACAGTCACGCGCCACCTACCATATAGGTCGTGAATGTTCCGAATAGTGTCCCTTTAAGGTGTCCACAGTTTAATGTGGTCTCACGCTGGAAGGCAGTAGTTAGTATTATGCACTTGTGGATTGTAGTTTCATTGTGGTGTCACAGCAACACACCAGAAGTTGACTGCTAAAAAAGCGCTGCCACCTGTCTCCTAGGACGTGTTCTGTAATGGCCGCTGTATAAAAAACAAGGTGCAGTATGTCACGCTGCGTTGCCGTCAATGAGTGAGCACGTCCGGGAAGAGTGCAGTCCGTCGATGTTGAAGAATCGAGTTATGATGCTGCTGGAGTACTTTGTTGAAGACTGTCGCCTGGACGACGACTAGCTCTGGAGTTAGTTTCAGTGTTTCGTTGAAAAGAAACGTTCAAGACACGTTCGAAAAATTGTGGAGTACATGCGTGTGGTGAATATTTGGGGCCGCCAAGTGTTCTTGCACAGTTTAAAAAGTGTGAGATTGCGTTTGTAGCCCGGTAAGTTTGTTCTCGTTGGTTTAAATACCTTCCAAGTGATTTTGTGAGTTGTAATCGGTGTAGCGCGTCGTGGCGACCGCCGTCTCGGGTAGCGGGGCCGATCGCCGTCGCTCCGTCGAGCCAAGGACTAGGGGAGAGCTTTGAGCAAACTTATCGGATTTATTTACATCTTTACAGTGAGTTGTCGAGATGACAGAGAAGAGAAGAGAAGAACTAGTGGTTTCACAAACCACGAGCGTGGTGGTTGAACTTTACAAAGTTCAGAGCGACGTCCAGCACTCTGCCGCGTCGTTTTATGCCCTGTCGGGCTCCTCCCCTACGAGTCGACCACCAATCACGCACACACAGGTGAGGGGGGGCGAGCATACAAGGTCCACGTGAACACTGCACTGTGGTGGCGCCAGCAGGGCTCTTCCTCGTCGTGTGTGTGCCGTTAGTCAAGAGTGCCCACGATCCTGGCCGCATACTTCAAAGGGTCCGCCGATTTTGTTCGCTCAATTAGCGGGGCGATCCGCGGCAGGCGCCGCGGTCTCCCCCACGAAGACGCCGTCCCTGTTGTCCTCTCTGTGGCGTCGCGGCGTCTTGGCGACACTACGTCTCGTACTCCGGCCAGCAGGGACAATGCCTGGCGGGCATAGGCAGTCGGCTGGTCGGCTACTTGACGGAGGATTAAAGAAGCGCCGCTCCGCCGTCAGCTCTGTCACCGGTCACGCCAGCTCTTCCGTTGCCCGATGAGTCGCCGAGTCCATTAGTCACGCTGCTGCTTGAAGGGACGACAAAAGAGTCCGCACTTGAAGGACGGGAACTCGCCTTTGCTTGCTGCTTGGTCTGGACAATTGCTCAAATCTTCAACAGCGTCTGTCAGACTGTCCTTTTGGGCCTAATCCGGCGTGGCGAATGACCCGCTGGGTCAAGGCATAGCTTGATCGCTACAGCTCCTCCGCCGACGGGAAGATCTCGGACGTCGGGTAGTATCAGCTGCTCGACGGGAGAGATCACAGTAACCGCAGTCTCCCAACACCATTGAAACCACAAAGACCAACCGCTAGAACCAGCAAGCGCCGGCAATGAGTTTTCGGCAACCAGGCCGGTCTTTCAAATGTGCCACAATGCACCTACGCTTTTTTTTTTAAGTGGCAACCACATTAATACTCTTGCTCATAGCTAAAAATTTCGATTACTCAAAAGACCCCTTAAAATCATTACGGAAAAACGTCCCTCAACGTTCCGTATAACATGACGCTCAGCTAAAGAATTCAACTGATCTCTGAGCACATACTAAAATAATAAAGGGTATTGCACTTCGTGTACTAACACGCTTATTTGCTGAATGTAGTTTCATGTCAGCCCATGTTTTTAAAGAACGCACAAGACTTTGCTGTGCGCTCTAGCACGACATCTTACTCTCATCCAAAGAGCGCTAGCATACCCACACGCACCTAACCATAGGCGATATCTCTCTCACCTAGGTATCCTTAAACCCTCATCAGAACGTAAATGTTCACAAAAACCAAAACGCTATGAAAAATAACGCTAGACGCGGTACATGCCATGAGCATCTGACAAAACAGACGTTAATTTTGAGCTAAAACTCCTGTACCGAATGTTTCTCCCCATGAGCATTTCGAAAATCGCTTTTGTTTGGTTTTATTCTAAAACCTTCCCAAACATTGCTCATTTACTCTATTGAAGACGGCATGCGATGCCGCGCTTCACTAAAGGGCACGAAGCATAGAAACTCCTGCTCCGCTCGACCAACGTTACCACGCTTTCCAATTTAGCGGGCAAACCACCCTTCATTTACGATTTTTGTTTTCTCAAAGAAAAACTAATTTCGAAGCAGTCGGTTGACCAACGCGGGTCACTGCTTCCGCATAACGCTTAACAATTCAACTCGAAATTTTGACAAAGCTTATACGCAAACAAAATCTAGAGGGAAGAAAAAAGTATCCAAGCAAACTAGCTGTGGAGATGACACAGGTACACCACTTTAAAACCAAATATAACCAAACAAGTATGTTTCCAAAAAAACCTCCTGTGTCCGACTCTCCCGCCTACAGCTGTCGCTCCCCCTTCAGCCGTACACGCGGCGGTCGTGGTCTTCGACTCTGAAAACGCGCGAGACAACAACGTGCACGAGCAACAAGCTGAACTGCAGCGTTACGCCTCATTCGCGATTTTGGCGGGCTTCTGTCAGTTCGGCGTAGGGGACCGGAGCGATGCCTGGGACAGAGTGGCCATGCCTTTTTTGGGCTAGCTGGCGTGTGGTGTTTAGCTGTTGTGGATTTTCTTTTTCGTCTAGGACCCCTTCTACAATCCTGTTCCCGCAAAGCTTTAAATCTCCTGCGTACATTCCGTCGCGGGGATGCGCGCTGGGGCCTACCCTTTTGCCGCTGGCGCCTTACTTCCCGCCACAAAGGCCTCTTCGCCGAACTGGCCGGTGAGCTACCCTTCGGCCGCTCGCCCGGCTGATTGCCCCATCCTTCTTGCCTTCGCTTTGTCGCGCGCGTACCTTTCACTCCTCTACGGCGACGTCTACGACCGACTTTTTCTGCACTGTTAGGAAATTGGCCTCGGGTTGCGTCATCGGTAGTTTTACAGCTCAAGGGTGCCTCTGCACCACCTGCCACAGTGTTTCGGCACATTGATTTCTTGGCTCTGTCGCCTTGTCTGGCCGATTCACCTGTGCTAACGCTGTACTCAGGTGCGCCCTCAAACGTTCTGTGGATAGAACGGAAAGACCGGCGCTCTCCACGCAATTCCATTCGCGAACCCGCTTTCCTCTTACCTTTCGTCCGGTTGCTCGGACGCATGCAATGTAATTTTGACGCTGCTGCAAAGCTCTTATTTGCTACGCTGACAGGTTTTGCGCCTTCTTTTACACGCGTAGTACTGTTCGTCTTTCTCGCGGATTTGCGACGTCTCTTTCGTCTGCGCCGCTTTTTGCGTGTCGCTTCCGAGCCTCCCGATCGCATCTCACACTCGTGAACCCTCTCACAGCTTTCGTCAGCTGTCTCAGTCGCGCGGTCTAAATGATTTTCGACCTGGTCATCTTTATTCTCACCCTCTAGACCGGCGGACTGGTTAACACACTTAGGAACAATGCAGCTGTTTCCCTTCGAAAAATCTTGCTCGCATTCCTGAGAGCTATCTGCAACTGCACTGATACCATTCTCTATGCTCGCTGCTTCTGAGCTTTCTCCGGTGTTCTTGCCTACTTCGACCTCATTTGCAAGATCCACCGTCGCGACAAACACAGTTGAGGTCTGTGCCAGATTGTCTACAGCTATTCTAGCTGTTTCGCTAACAGTTAACTGGCAAAACACCTCGTCGCACTCGCTCTGACCTTCGTCGGCCTCTCTACTCAGCGCAGCCTCATTCGCAGCACTCAAACTCGATTCGCCTTTGAATCCGCTGCTGTGTTCACACGTGCTAGCCTTCTCTAAAGCTCTGGGCTGCGCCTCGCACTTCTCGTGCGCTACACTTGCGGATGGCTGAATCTTCCACCGCGTTGCCTCGACTTTTTGTTCTAACAGTTCAATCTCTAGGCTGAGTGCTCGCTCGAACTCTTCACCTCGCTCCCGTTTTTCTATCTCCCATTTGCTCTCACTATTCACCTTGGTGCTATGAGAGACACGCGGACCCCTCTCAGGCTTGGTTTTAATACCAGCACACCGCCGCGCGTTCTTCAACGGAGCGTTCATGAGCTTGCACTCAATTTGCTTTCTGTCAATTCCGATGCCGAAGCACCGCAGTAAGGCTGCCTTAGCTACATGGTAACTGTTGAACTCGTCCTCGGAAAGGTACCCTATTCTACCCATTAAGTCGCACGGAAGGACACTCAATAAGGCGATAGACCAATAGTCTTCGTCGAGCCCTAGGTCTGTGCAAACATTCTCGTAAGAGGTTAGGTAACTCTTTATATCCTCGCCCTCTTCGAAGGCATGGATCCTGGAATTTACTTGAGACCATCTAAGGCACTGTATTGATCTTGTTGTCTCTTCCAGTTTTCCCTTTAGGGTTTCCTTCCACTGCTCTCTCTCTTGCTCTCGCCTTTCCCGACGCTCCTGTTCCTCACGCCTTTCCTGACGCTCCTGTTCCTGTTGCTTTTGAATCTCGTTCCACGTTTCTTTAATATCTTCACTGGTCAGATTCAAGCCCTCGATAGCGCCAACAATTGCGTGTTTCTTCATCCCCGCATCTACTTCTGCTCCCAGCTCCTCCCCCAGAATCAGTAGCTGATTCTTCAACAAACGCTTCCAATCCATGACAGAGAACTAGTGTGGTGCAGCTCACTCTCTACCCAGAAGTTCCGTAAACAACTGCTTCTGTGGTAGCCTCTACCAGCGAAAAGATTGCACTTCTATCTTATCAGCCTGGCAACCAAAAAACCAAAGCCAGCACTCACCAGTCCACAGCTGCCAGTCTCCATGATCTCGGCGTGTTGTTCATTCTCCGTCCTCTAGGCTCACATCCCACCGCTGCCACCAGTTGTAGCGCGTCGTGGCGACCGCTGTCTCGGGTAGCGGGGCCGATCGCCGTCGCTCCGTCGAGCCAAGGACTAAGGGAGAGCTTTGAGCAAACTTAACGGATTTATTTACATCTTTACAGTGAGTTGTCGAGATGACAGAAGAGAAGAGAAGAACTAGTGGTTTCACAAACCACGAGCGTGGTGGTTGAACTTTACAAAGTTCAGAGCGACGTCCAGCACTCTGCCGCGTCGTTTTATGCCCTGTCGGGCTCCTCCTCTACGAGTCGACCACCAATCACGCACACACAGGTGAGGGGGGGCGAGCATGCAAGGTCCACGTGAACACTGCACTGTGGTGGCGCCAGCAGGGCTCTTCCTCGTCGTGTGTGTGCCGTTAGTCGAGAGTGCCCACGATCCTGGCCGCATACTTCAAAGGGTCCGCCGATTTTGTTCGCTCAATTAGCGGGGCGATCCGCGGCAGCCGCCGCGGTCTCCCCCAGGAAGACGCCGTCCCTGTTGTCCTCTCTGTGGCGTCGCGGCGTCTTGGCGACACTACGTCTCGTACTCCGGCCAGCAGGGACAATGCCTGGCGGGCATAGGCAGTCGGCCGGTCGGCTACTTGACGGAGGATTAAAGAAGCGCCGCTCCGCCGTCAGCTCTGTCGCCGGTCACGCCAGCTCTTCCGTTGCCCGATGAGTCGCCGAGTCCATTAGTCACGCTGCTGCTTGAAGGGACGACAAAAGAGTCCGCACTTGAAGGACGGGAACTCGCCTTTGCTTGCTGCTTGGTCTGGAAATTGCTCAAATCTTCAACAGCGTCTGTAAGACTGTCCTTTTGGGCCTAATCCGGCGTGGCGAATGACCCGCTGGGTCAAGGCATAGCTTGATCGCTACATCGGTACCCGCCGAGTATGCAAGTTTGTGTGCTGCCTTTACTGACAATACATATTTTGTTTGTGTCATAAGCTCTTGGTTTTTAACTCGGCCTTTGGACGACAACCGGCTTTTCAGTGCACTAAAAAAACCTACTTTAAACTGTACGTGCTTTCGCGGTGCGTTTCGGTGGGCCGATATGTCAGCCCTTGGAATCTGCCCAGCGATTGCCTCCCCATGAACGGAATCAGTGACCCTCTTCATTTCAGGTGAGTCAAGCAGGGAGCATTTATGGAGAGTATTGAGGCCTATACTCTATGAATGATTGGCCCTCCTAGGGCAAACTGTTCACATATGTGTTGTAATAGGTGGTCCTAATAACGATTCAGAACCGAATCTGTGATGTGCAGCTACGAAACGCATCATTGAAGGCTTACTGTCCCGTGTAGAAATGCGTGTGAAAGCGTTTCTCCTGGGAGGAGTGGTGGGGCTAGAGACGATTCGAGGAGAACTACGCCCGTCCAGCCACTTCGGCGGCATGCAACAGGCCGCACCTTGTTATTCAGCAGTCGTCGTTCTGCTCTCCTTTCTCTTCTCTCCTCTCCCTCGGAGTGAGCGTGTTCGACCAGCTATGTTGTCTTGGTCTGCCATTTCCACTTTTGTCTACTATATACAGACGTGAGCCACACACACTACTCCCCAAGAATTCATGGGCTAGGGGTGAATAGCACTGCCATAAAAAACAAAGCCACAAACATACACCTACCTTTAGATGGTGGAGTGTAGTGTACGTTTTTCCACAGCCTTCCACACGGCACATAAATGCCTTTTCAGTGGGCGTCCCATTGTTGGTGCCCCCATTTGACATGTGAACGATCTGGGGAAGAGAACGCAACACATGTGCGGGTAGGTTTGAAACATAATAAAAAAAACACACCGCCACAAACCATATACGTAGTAATCACAGTGTGTTTTTCAGCATTACACTTTCGGTCAATAAATGGCTGTCAAAAAAGAAGCAAATTAAGCATGCAAGATTTTCACAGTGGCATGTGAAGTTGACGTGCGCGATATACAGACATCTTCAACAGCTTGTGACCCAACTTGTACGTTTACAGTATACCCCACAGTACAAAAACCGATTGAGCTGCCATTCTATGAGCATATTAAGTTCTCAAAAGGTTGATTAACTAACGGTAAGAAGTTTGCTTTGTATGCCCTCTTTCACAATTATAGTAGAAGTCGAGTTAATCATGCTTTAAAAAGTGTTCATCTAAGGTATGATACTGTATACCATACTGTACTGCTCATTCGCAAAAAAATATTCACTCACGTTTGTAGACCTTGCACCAGTCTCATCCTCCTCACAGTTGTCGTCGCCTGATGCCTGCACAAAAGAACAGGTCTTGTAAGTGAAACCCATTCCCTCGCAGAAAAACCAGGTCTTCATGACAATCTGACCCAACAGGGATAACAACGACGAATCTGTGTCATAGCTTCGGCTGAAATGCATGCGAAACTTATTATGGCCAGCTCCGATAAACAGAAAATGTTTTAAATGGGTACTGACACACAACTTCCCGGGCGAGACAGCCTGTGGGATCGACTCTCGTGAACATGCGTATATCATCTCCAAAGTATCAACAGCGCATGTACCTTGGAAAGTATTTTACATGAATTTTGAAGTTTGAGTTTGAGTGTTCGGTCGAGCCTCGTGGTATTGACACCCTTAGAAGTGACTCCAGTGATCCCCCACTTCCCTGACATCACCACGTCATAGCTGCCATTTTTCTTTTGCTGCATTTGAATTGGCAGACTATGTCTCGGTGACTGCTCGCGACCCATGGCCGTAGCACACAAATTGAAAGTCGTGTGATTGGCAACATTGCTTTCTAGTTTTCTGTTCGAAACGACTTCTTGGTGCGCGCTGTGCAGAAATGCCCCACAGTTCTGCGTGCTGACGTGGCCAAGCATTGCACACGCTTGGTGGATCGCTGATAGTTGCACCCAGCAGCTTGTCATTTGTGGAGCTCTCTCAAACCAAAACTGTTCTGCAATGAAGAGCCTGTAATTATCTGTCATGCGCTGCAGCAAACAATGCGCCATGTATGACTAACAAGCCCCAAGAAACACACTGTAGCAAAAAAAAGAAAAAAAAAACACGAGGCCGAAATTTTTGCGTCAGTGCCCCTTAAGCAACTGCGAGGGCTGAAAGCAAAGCCTTAAAATGATACCCATTTTTTAAAATTTGAGTACGCAAGAGAGATGAAGTGTTGACTCATTTAGGCAGCATCAAACCATAAGCATGCCATATGCATGCGTTCATTGATATTTTGCCTATGTTATAGAGGGATGGGGTGTGCTTACACCCCTTCGAAAGTCTATTTCGCCTCATGGTGCCAGTACATCCTGCGGCATCTTTAGCATGGGATGTGGGATGGCACTGTTCCCGCAACAGACATCAGACTCTGCCCAGGTGGCACTTCGAAAAGTGCCGCCCCCAGCGCCCTTATCGCCAGGTAGGGCAAATGCACCATCATCGATAGTGCGTCGTCGTCACATGTAGACGTCATTTCAGGAGAGCCACAAGGCTCCGTCCTGGGGCTGCTTCTCTTTTTGATTTATATCAATGATCTTGCTGAATGCGTGGAAAGTCAAGTGAGGTTGTACGCAGATGACTGCTGCATATATCATGAAATTAAGTGCACTCAAGATTCCGAACAACTGCAGAAAGACCTTGACTCAGTAATAACATGGTGCAGTATGTGGAAAATGCAGCTTAACGTGTCAAAGTGCTGTGTTGTTAGGTTTACCAAAAAAAAAGGAGCCTTTAATGACCAATTACTTTATGGAAAGGATACCATTATTCATGGTAAATGAATACAAGTATCTTGGCGTTGTCATCAACAGCACACTATCGTGGAATGATCACGTTTGCATGGTATCAGTTAAAGCCAGTCGCGTGCTGAACTTCCTACGCCGCAATTTCAGAACCGCCCCCTCTGTTCTTAAACAAGTTCTTTACGTGTCAAATGTACGCCCGATTTTAGAATATGCTTGCACTGTCTGGGACCCGGCCACAAAGTTAAATATTGATGCATTGGAGCGCATTCAGAAACGTGCCGCCCGGTTTCACCAGAAGGTCTAGCGAAATTGTTAGTTCACTTGGTTGGCCGTTACCTACTCTCCTCAAGGCGTAAATATATCGAGGCTATGTCTTTTCTACAACCTAATAAACGACAAAACTGGGATCGATAAAAACAAATACATCGGACCACCAACATATATCTCATCACGACGGGACCATCCTTTGAAAGTGTGTGAATATATGTGCCGAACATCAACGTATGCAAATACTTTTTTTCCCTAAAACTATTCACGAATGGCACAGTCTTTCAAAAAACATTGTGACCGCCCCTTCCACAGCGTTTCCTTCCCTTTTAAAGGAGTATGTGGTCACAATGATATTGTATGCTGTGATTTTGGTATTTTTGATTTGTTTTTATTTTTTGAGTGCCGTGCAATTCAACTTGTCCCCACTGATTTAAATGTACTTTGAATTTGTAAACGTCCCTACAACAATGCCCCCAGAGGGCGCTGTAAGTATAAGTATAAATAAATAAGTATAAACAAACAGTCGTCCACAAGCGATTGTGCATAGGCCCTCCTCTTTCGTTAATGTTGAGGCGCGGTTTCCTGAAAATAAAAGACCTTGGCGAGTTTCTTTTGTCAATACAACCTCAATTAAAAAAAAAAAGTTCATCGAAGGAAACTGCCGGTACATATCAAAAGGTGTTTTAGTAATTTCGACGCACTGCAACTAGCAATTGAAGTGCAAGCGAGCATCGCATGACATCATGTTCGAGGCAAGCACCTCAACGTGTGTTCTGTAATGCCTAAATGTGTTCAATTTGGGCATACACGAGCAAAGTATCTAAAATTGCCGTCTCTACAGTCACGCAGACTGTTCTCCCTTCTGTCTCTTTTTCACAATCTCTACCATAACCATTCGCAACTTTCTGCACTTATTAAACCTGCTCATAGAATATTTGCTCGTCTGGACCACAAATTCAAATTAGAACCTTTATTTGCTCGAACAAACCTGTTTTTACATTCACCATTACTTCTTGCTGTTAATTACTGGAATCAACTTCCCAACGATATTGTCTGTATAAAAAACCATGACGAATTCACTCACAAATTAAAGCTTGATCTTGGTGTTTGAATGACCTAATACAACTGACCCAGATGTAAATGTGCTTATATAACGGTTTTTTAGCACGCTGTATAACTCACTTATTTGAATTTGACTATGATCAGCATTGTTTAGCATATAAATGTTCAGCCTCGCTTGTTCTTTTGATACGCCTTCCTTTTTAGTGTACTTTTGTCTTCATAATTGATTTTCTGCGATTTTGTACATTATTTATACCTTGTTATTTACTTTTTCATACATTTTATTACTTTATTGTTCCTGTTAGTTTCTATATATGTATACTATTACCCCCCCCTATGTAATGCCCTCGGGCCTATAGGGTACATGAATAAATAAATAAATGAATGTGCCTTACAATCAGTGGTGCAAAGCTCACTTTATCCAGCATGAATGACCCCAGCGATTAGCGCCATTGCAGTAGCATTCGCTATTCATCTCTTGCTTCTTGTGCATTGAACTGTTTTATTACGCATCTTAGAATGTTCGGTTGACGGTTGTCTTAAATTTGCATATACTGCAAATGGGGCCACATGTGTCCACTTTCTGATTGTACAATGAAATGCAAAACCGAGGCCTCCGATATAGCTCCAGCAATCGCGTAAACCTACGGCAGGAAGAACCTGATTGTTGTCACAACCAACATTTTGTCATTTACTTGTATGATGTACGTGTTCACATTTGCTAGTTGAAGCTCGAACTTAGAGCCTTCAAAGCCTACGTGTGCGATGCTGTGTGGTGGCGACCACTTCAGATTTTCGGTAGTCGCGACGTGTGCGATGACGATCGCACACGTCACCAGTCCCCTGTTGCACAGCGCGCACCGCAGTAAGACGCTCTGTTGAGCTTCATAAACAGAGTTACACCAGTTCTCCGCCAAGGCTGCTCAAAACAATAGCAGGAGGCTTACATTATCACACTTTTTTCACATGACCAGCCGTGGAAAACGCGAGTTATAATTCACTTACCCAACACGTTCGCAACGGCCCGTATCCAGCACTTTCGTTGTTCTGCTTCGTGAAAGCTACGGAAATCAGTAAAACTGAAGTCCTTTACGTCCATGGCAATTCACAAAGCAACAGTAGCATCAACTGACGTCGTTCTGCGTAGAGCACAGAGATGTTGTGTCTGCTCTTGTTTTTCACCGTCTTTCTGGCGAGTGAACCAGCAAGCACTTCACGGTGGTTCGGTGACGCGTCCGACTCGCGGAGAAATTCGTAGCTCTTTTTCTGAGGGTTCACTGCGCCAACACACCAAATATTTAGCTCAATCGTTGTTTCGCACGCACTAGTTGCGCCTCGTTGCGCAGCAAACTGCGCAAGAGAGTCGGGCTTTGCGCTACCAAAACTGCGCCAACAGGTGGCACTGCATGCCTGCAAAACTCCAGAGTCTGACGTCTATGGCGGCACCCTGTCGGCGAAGTTAGGCGAACGCACGCAGGACAGCTATTACTCTCTTTTGAGGCTTGGCACACTTGTTGACAGTAGCCTTTCACAGGGTGTTTGTGGGGACTATACTGCAGCTCGTTCTCGCAAATTCCAGAGGCAGGTGAAATGTTGGTGATGAATTGTGCGTTTTGTTGCTTGTGTGTGTGTTTGTTACACTGGAATTCTACTGCATTATTCGTCCTGTTATTGTATTTACTCGACAGATTCAACCAATAGGCTGGCCAGAGTGTGAAATCTGCCATTGGCCACGTGTAAATTACCCTTTCGTGTGCAATGCAATCGATGACCCACGAGCAGCGGCTAACAAAACTCCCCAACATATACATATGCTTACATTAATTAAACATGGGAATGCAACTAAATGAAATGGGTAAAAGCAGGACTTGCCTGAGCAGTGATGCTCTCTAAACCAAGGGTAGCTTCGGACACATCAGAACCAAACAACTGCTCAGCAGTTGTCGTCGTGGAGATGTAGGCAGTTGTGCCATCTTCTAAGGTTACCGCCTGGAGTCCCTCTAGAAGGAGAAAATGAAGTTAAAGACTATGGCGAATTTCAGTAGACACCAAATAAACAAAATGAATTAAACAGGCTCATTGTTTAAGCAAGAAATGGTTTTGAAGGAGAATGCAAGGCACCACCGACTAATATATCTAAACCAGTGCATCCCTTTAAGCAGTCCTAGTTCAGCGCAAAGTCCTAAACGGCAATATATACACAATATTGTTAAATGGTCTAAAAATTAAATTAAACTAAATAGTGGGTTATGACTAGAGGCCAGATTTATAGGCACTAAAAAAACGGGTTTCACGCGCCAGGAACAGAAGGGCAAAACATTGTTTCACGCCTCCCATTCATATATATTGGCACAATAAACTTTGACAAAAATCACATTTTTGAAGAAATACGTGTGGAATCTGTGTTTACAACAGGAAAGCCAACAGAAATGTTTCAGTTTGGAATGGTACAAAGGTGCCAATGGTTTAGCGAAGCCATGCATTTTTTTTTTTCTCGCAGATTTTGCAGAATACCCGGTCCCTCTCTTATTAGTCAAGCATGGTGAGTTGAGAGTCCACTGTCGAATAAACACACCCCTGGTCTCTTTCTTTTCGCCATAACTGAGAAGGGCAACACAGGAGCAAAATGATCAGAGTGCTGATAGGCCAGAAGGGTCTTTTTGCCTCGTATTAACTTGGTCTAACCGCACAAGGTCGATTTCTCTTCTGTTTGTGAACACCTTCATGGGCCTTTCACCAGGTTTGAGAATTTCAAGTAGGGAAGAGGAATACATGCACTGGGTGCTCACGATCTCATCTGCCAAGATTTGCAATGCTACACGCCCGGAAAGAGGTGAAATGTTGGACTGAACTCTGCTTGACCATCTCACGAGCGCATGTCCCAACATGGTGGAGTTGACGTACACGACAAGGGTGGTCCTTCGTACGTCAAAATAGTAGGTAACACAACGAGAATCATTCAAGGTGACGTGTGCAATTCATGCAATCTGTTGCCCTGAATGGAAGTACTATGAAGATTGACAGAAAAATTAAAACAGTCAAATGATAATCTATGTGCATTATTTTTCTAACTTTGTATTGAGTGAGATGCTAGGCTAAGCTGCTTTTATTTCATTTGCATTGGTGTTCTTGCCATTTTCACATCGTGTCCCTTGCCAGCATTTACAAAGCATGGCGTGTTTTTGGTGCATCACCTTTTACACCAGTTCAAGCACTGCGACGCTGTGTATTATGGTAAGGATACATGACCCATGCCAGCCTCTCCAAACGGGCCAAGTGGAGGGATCCATCGCACGATAACAGGCAGTGCAATGCCGAGAATATCGAAACGACACGACACCGCTTGAGAGCACGACGTGGCATGGGCATGTCCTGCAAATGCAATATTGTGTGCACATGATGTGTTGATGTGTCTGCATCATGTGCATCTTCCGGCTTGGAGTTGCTCCGATACCGAAAAAGGCAAAGAAGGAATTGTTCTTGCGAAGTCTACACTGGGCAATTAGCAAAGGTTTCAAGCTCAACTCATCACATCATTCCTTTTGCGGCTGGTAATAAACCAATTAAAAATTCTAGCATTTCATTGGACACAACCACTTCCAAGGTATAAGTAAAATTTATTATGTGACCTAGCGAAGCACCTTTTAAGAAGTAAATGACAAACAAAACAAACCCACATCCACACCCTTTTATTTTTAGATGCAAAACAGCTCGACTAGCCTGTGTAACGCTGTCCCTCCGTCCACACCACAGCTCCTCTGGCTGCAGGTGTGGGGGGCAGTGCAGCGCAGGTCACGCCTTCCCTCACAAGCGCGCATGTTGACATCACTCTCTTTCTAGCTAGTCGCCGCGTGTCATCGCTTTCGCCTCACCCTCTCCATCGCTCGCAACGTTCGAGTGTACATCGAGCTAACGGTCTTCTGGCCGATCGCTACAAACAAATCTTCCAGCGCTCAATGCAGCACCGGCGTTAGTGCCATTCCACCCGTGACGTTACCCGTGTGAAATGCTGCTGCTTTGCATGCAGTCAGGGTTATCTTTGAGAAGATGTCGCTACTTTTTATCTACACTATACTTTCCCCGGATGACGCTCCATGGTTTCGCATTCGTTCTCTATCATCCTGTACCTGCACAGAAGCACCTTCCTGTTCCCTATGCGCATGCGAGCAGATGCCGGGGAGATGTCGAAGCAGACGACGTGACGCGGATGAATATACCGTATTTACTCGATTCTACCGCGCCCTCGATTGTAACACGCACCCGGTTTCCACAACTAAAAAAAAGAAAAAAGAAAAGTAAGACATTGATTGCAACGCGCACCCATTTTTCTCGGCCCGCACGATCACACCACTCGGGAAAACGACTCCTTTCGAGAGCGTCTTCCGTTGAAATATGAGGTACAGGGGAAGCTTGTGCCTATCTGACGTGCAACGGAGCATTGCCGTCACTTTAGTTTTACCGTGGCCCGATGTCAGCACGCGAACTTGCTTCGTGCCCTTCTTTTCGACGATTGTGGTGCCAGGCATGTCGAAGTAAAGGGGCGTCTGATCGGCATTCCCGATTTGCCCAAGCAGGTAGCCGTTGTGGTGACGCAAGTTTAAGACGAACCTCTGAAAACTGTGAAGCTTTTGATCGTACTCCTTCGGAAACATTTCGCATATGCCCGTTCACCTTCGGAAGGAAAAGCCTTTCCTCTTCATAAAGTTAGTTAGCCTGCACCTTCTCGCTTTAAACTGGCTCCGCATTAGCCCTTTTTCTAAGCCTAACTGCATAGCCTGCACTTGGAGCAGTCCTGTCGTCACGGGCTGCTGTGCCGCTTACTGCTCAATCACATACTCGCCGAGCAGCTCTTCAGTTTGTGGAAACCGACCCTGCTGTGGTCCAATGAAGCCTTTGCGTGAATCTTTGCTGTCGACAATCTTCTGATTTTGTTTCCGCCAGTCCCGCACGCACGTTTTGGGAATTCCGAACAACCGCGACTACGACCAGATTTCCGTCCGCTTCAGCACACGCGATGACTTTTCTTTTAAAAGCGGCATCGTGTTGCACTCGTCGAGTTTTTCGAGTCGGCCCTTCCATGCCATCGATGCTAATGCACTACAAGATGACGAACTCCTCAGCACACGTACAAAGTGCCGCACATGGGAAACACATAGGCAGAAATGGCCGACGCGCCATGCCGACGCACGTAGGGGGCGGCCATTTTGAAAATGCCAATGGCAATAGAATGACCGTATTAATTTTTTTTCCGTACTCGATTCTAACGCGAATGTGATTTATGAACTCGCTTAACCGGAAAAAATGTGCACGTTAGATTCGAGTAATTACGGTATATGTAGAGGCAAATTTGCCTTTCTATTCACTAAGAAGCCTTGTAGCCTTGATACTACTAAAAGGAACTTATGAGATTGAATATAGGTTGCACCCCATACAGTTACGAAAGCTCAACTTTGGCTGATAACATGAATACGTGTCTTCAACTATACTCGAGAGCAAAATTTGATGTTAAATAGCATACATATAGGCACTGATCTTGAACATAGGCATTTATAGGCACAATAAAAATACTATAAAAGCTCTTCTTAACCTCTAATTCATGCTGATATATCACAGTGGCACGATAGAAATGCAAGAAACAAAATAGGCATTTTCCTATAATCGAGTCTTAGTTATGACTCAAGTCATAGTAGTAGGCTCTGAACCAGTTTGGACCGCCTGAGGTTCTTTCTTGCACACCTAAAACAGCGCACAAGTGTTTCTGCATCGCTTTCCATTAAATTGCAGGCGGGACTCAAATCCCTGATTTCAGGCACAGCAGAGCAATTCTATGGTAACAGAGCTTCTGTAACAAACAGTGTTAACAGCTTGTTTTCGCTTCTTGTTTTCAGCTTGTTTTCGCTGGTGTGCTTCATGTATTAACAGTGTCATAGAAAACATCAAATATAATTCTGAAAGGTTATCCTAATCGAAGTGAATTTTTGTTCACTGAGTGGGAGCAACTAGGACAACGTCATGAGCTATAATAAAATCAGCTGCTGGCTTCCTATACTTTTTGTTATAGCATGTGTGGTTGTAGCAGACTAAATTAAGGAGACCCTGGAATGGTTTCGGCAATTTTGTACGAACACATTAGGTTGGTAGACCAGGTCCTAAGGGCCATTTAGAGACCGATTATGAGCTCTCTGCGTAAACTGTATAATTTGTTACAATGCTTTGAAGCTGCGAATCGCTGCAACTCCCGTTTTAAACCACCCATTCACAGAACGGCATACCCTGGCCATTAGACGACACTGTGGCTGCTGATCTGATTGGCTGTCATGGGCTGTAGAATGCGCGAAAGTAAGAGTGGCAGCACCTGTTGGAGCAGATATGAATCACTTCTTGATCTTCGTCTCTGTTGCCAAACGCTGTGCATGCTGCCCTCTATGATGAAGACGTGGACGTCGAGTGTGATAACATTGTAAAATGCATTATGGATGTCATTGAACGATCAACGCGTAGCTGTTCGCGCCGAAATTATGACCATGCCATATGTCCATGGATGAATAGAAATATACTTGAGGTTTTGAAGCTGAAAGATTTTTACTACGACAAATGGAAAAATAACAGGAGCAATGAATACTACCATCAAAATTTTAAGCTTTACAGAAACAAGTCAGTAGCAATGATAAGAAAATCCAAGAAGTGCTACTATACCAACCTAGTGAAAAAAAATGATGGTAACACGAAGAAAATATGGCAGATTGTTAAAGACGTCACTGGCATGGGTAGCAAAGAACGCATTACACCTGATAATCCAACTCGTGAAGTGGCCGACAACTTTAACGATTACTTTACTAATATTGGTCTCAGCCTTGCGAGGAAGTTCCCTACTCATATGCAGAATTTAAATGCACCCTGTACTGTTACCAATAATTTTGATTTATGTAATGTAACTGAGGATGACATCCGACAAGTAATTAATAAGTTACCAGGGAACAAGGCAGCTGGACATGACGCCATATCATCAAGGATTTTAAAGGAGAATATTGATGTATTGTGTGGTCCCTTATGCCATATATCTAATCATGCATTTTCCTCTAAAACTTATCCTAGTATACTTAAGACCGCCAAAGTAATACCAGTGTACAAATCTGGTGATCGGAATCTTCCGGACAGCTACAGACCAATATCTGTTCTGAGTAGTATTAACACTACGCTTGAAAAACTAATTTCGTCGCAATTAAGGCGCTTCCTGGGTGAACAGAATGTACTTTGTCCCCAGCAACACGGCTTTGTTGCAAACAGGTCCACTTCAACTGCTGTTTCGATGCTTACGCAATATATTAATTCCGCGCTACATGAAAACAACATAGCAATAGCAGTATTTTAGACATACGAAAGGCATTTGATGCTATTAGTCATTCCATTTTACTGGAAAAAATGCATTCTTATGGGATAAAAGGTAACTCGCTTGATTTTTTTTTCTAGTTATCTATCGGCACGCAAACAAAAGGTAGTCATTGGTGACATCAAATCATCCTACGGTTATATTAAATGCGGGGTGCCACAGGGTTCAGTTTTGGGCCCTATATTGTTCTCTCTTTATATTAATGATGTCCCGCGATCCCTACAAAGGTCAAGGGCACTGATGTACGCGGACGACACTGTTTTAGTTTTCACAGGACACTCCTTAGCAGATTTACAAAATGACGCGATGACCGATTTATCGAACATTTCGGAATGGTTTGCCAGGAATCAGCTGACAGTTAACTGTACTAAAACAAAGTATATGGTGTTTCACTCTCGTAGGAAACATATTGACGCTGAATCTCTTAACCTAACAATAAACAACACTCCTATTCAACAAGTTCCTTGTTTTAAATATTTAGGCGTCACTTTTGATGAACACTTACACTGGCATGAGCAAGTACAAAGTGTGTGCGCAAAGCTAGCCTATGGCTGCTATTCTCTAATAAAAGCTCGCCAATATTTTCCACAAGCTATACTCCGCACACTCTACTTTTCATTGTGTCATTGTCACATAGGTTACTGTCTGGAATCGTGGGGTGTGACGTACAACAGTTATCTAAAAACTCTTGAACGACTTCAAAAGCGTACACTGAAAATCATAAGCCAAGGTGAATCAGTAAGTAATATTTTCCAATCACAACGCATTCTCTCGGTTCCGATGTTGCGTGACTACAAAATTGCTGTTTCAGTAAATAACATAATTAATAGAAATTCACCTTTGCCTGCTGATCTTTTTTCAATTCCTAAACGCAATACGCGACATGCTTCGAATGGTAATTTCAATCTGCCCAAATGCTTTAATGTTTACGGAGAAAGACTGATACAGTTTAGTGGAACAAAAATATGGAACACGGTCCCCCTAGAGATTAAAACGGCACGTAATTTCAGCATGGCATGTAAATCATTTTTTCTGTGGAGTCAAGACATGTAAGCATGTGTGTGTGATTCGATTTTCATTGTATTTTTTTAATAAGTGCCTATGTATAGAAACTAGCTGCAAGCTAATAAGTATGCATATCTGCAAGAAAAAATGTATTACTGTGTTATCTGTATCACATGATTGTTTTTTTTTTTATGTTGTTACCTCAGAGCTGACCTGTACACTTTTTTATGTTGCACATTGTATTGGACCGTCCACTAGCCACTTTAGGCTATCGGTCCAAATAATCCCTGTAATTGCATATATCTATTTATGAAAATAAAGCTTCATTGATTGATTGATTGATTGATTGATTGATGCTGCCGGGCGCAATATGGGATGGCCTCAGAAACTGCGCGCGACCTCGGAGGTATAGACTGGTCAAAGCTCAAATCATCTCGTGCACTCATGAGAGCTCCGCGATCTCCAGCGATGCCAGCGTGCCTCATGAGTTGAGGAGGCCTGGCAGAGGTGAGAAGGAGGGTATGATATAATTGTCCATAGCCGCGTTGGTACACGGCGTGTCACTAAATTTGTGCTGCGAATGATTATATAATGCTCTAGGTTAAACGCTGACAAAACTTTAAAAAGTAGCTGTTTTGGTCTTTCAGTACCAGAAACATGAAGGCTTATGGTCTCCAAAATTCAATGACAAGAAGTTATCAGCTATTTACTTCTCCTTCAGTTATTAACTGCATATGCCACGTGCAGATAACAATGTTTGTAAGTTCTTCCCGTGTCACTTTAGTATCACTAACATGTATCCCACACGGACTTGTGTGTGGGCGCGTGTGATAAAAAAACCAACCTATGGCTCCCCTCGGTCCGGCTTGTATGTAAGCTGTGGAGCCATCCTCTAGCGTGATGGCATGCGTAGTTCCACCTAGTCCCTGAAGAAATGCAGTCGAACCGTCTTCCAGTTTGACTCCAAGGCCACATGGGTCTACTTCCTGCAGCAAATGCAAGAGAAAAATAAAGAACTTTTTGAAGATAAGTGTGACACCAACGAGAAATCAAAAAGACAGCGTTCATGATCCAGCACCATGAATGTCAGGGCTTCGGCAGTTGCTCCAGTTAACTAATACGATACATGCGCAGAACACAGTAAAAATAACAAAAAATTGGGAACCAGTAAGCAAATGAACTACGAACACCACAATTATTTGTATCACTGACACATGCAATGAAATATTCAAGTAGCAAATACTAACTCTCCCATTTCGCAACTTGCCAAGTTTCGCAGACATGAATAAAGACACACAACTCATGGTTTGATATTTTTCTCCTATCATTCAGAACAGGGCCGCTTTTCTTATGCCCCGTAAACAAATAGACCTTTTTCTGACAGACTTAAAAAAAATAATAGAATACAAAATAAAACAATACTTGAAACAAACATGAGACATGCAATCGATCCTGTGATCCATTTTTGTTAGGCACGGCCTTATAAAGCCAAAAAAAAAAAATGTGGAAAAGTTAACTGAACTTTGCAGAAAGGGGTAAAAAGCCTTACAAAAAAAGAAGAAAAAAATAAAATTTCTGAGTTTTACACGCCTAACTTAAAATTAAAATTTGTGGTACATGCTAGCGGAGAGCTTCACATTTATTTCGGCTACTTAGAGTTCTTTCATGGGCACATGTCTAAGTACATGCACGTGATTGCACTTCACCCTCCTATATAATGCAGCTACCACAGCCAAAAATCGAACCCAGACTGTCATGCTCAGCACTGAACACCACAGGCACCTATGATGGGCAAGATAAAGGAAATTCAAGGTGGGCAAAGCTGACTTGCAGCTAGAGGGAGCTGATCAATTAAACTCTGTATTATACCACCTCGACTTACCAATGCCGAAACAATTCTACACCACAATTAAGCGCTACAAACAGCATCCCCAAAGCTTTCCTTGGCTTTGTTATCTATTAGCATGATATGGCTGCATTTTGACGATACTTCAGGTGAACCACTGACCTGTGAGAGACCAAGAGTAGCCACAGCTGAAGCAACCTCAGCCCCTCCTGGGTCTAACAAGCCTTGGTCAGTTACATCGTCTTCTTCTTCCGCCTCTGCGACATCTTCATCCTAATAAATGTAAAAGCACAGTGATCGAAGCTTCCCAGTCAAATCATATACGAATGTTGGAGAAAAACAACCTTTGAGTACAAAACTTAGTACAAATATATCTCTTTCACACACACAGACAGAAAGGTCAAATAGTCTATTCATGGAGGCTGTATGCTCTCACCCGGTGTAGGCCATTGTTAAGAGGGACACAACAACACAACATGGCCACAGTCGCTGTTGTCAGGTGCTGCTGAACAAGCCCTTTATAATTGATTTCTACATGTTTCCTCACTGCATTATGAGCCAATAACAATAATTTTTTTTACTTGAGCTATACTTCCTTTTAGATTCAGAGTGGGACAGATGGAAGGTGGATAAATGTTTTAGACAACAAAGGGTTAATTAATAAAAAGAAATGAAGGAAAACACGACTTGATGAAATTGTCAATTCTGCCAGTCTATCTAGCCTTACTAAGCTCATTTACGTTCATAGATGTATAAGTGTAATATAATTAATAAAGGAGCTAAAAAATTACAAATTACTCTTTTCAGTTACACGACAAACCACAAAAGCATCAATAAAACAAGGGTTCCTTCATCAGCAGGGGTACAGCACTCATGTTGAAGAGTGGAATGCAGTGTTTGTAGAAGCAATGCCCCCTTTATTTCTTTCAATGCTGGGGCAAACTGAGCGCTTCTCAACGGTATCCATCGGTCCGCCTTAGTTCAGGGCAGTGGTCGTGATGTGACGCCCCATGTAGGCTAGGGCTGCTTGCATCACGCATGCGTCCGAGCGCATTCCCATGGAGATCTGATGGACGTGTTTCTCTCTCCAATATTATACATGTGTCATATTTGTTCCTTCGTGCTCCTTCATTGTCGCTCGATAGCAATGCCACACCGCTCTTGATGTCAGGTGCAACAGCGTTGCAGTAACGCTTCCCCAGTGGTTGCTCGCATAGCGCCATGAATGGTAACACGCTATCGAAAAACACCGTTCTCTTACAGAGCTAACGAGACCACCAACATTGTGAACATGACGAATGCAAGATGCCACCCCATGGATCTGTACACAACTGAACAAAAAGATTGCTTCATATAAATTCCATCTTGAGGCACCACATGATGGGCTTTCTCCCCCATGACCGCAGAGCACACGTGAAGGCTAGGTGATGGACGAAAGCAGGAAAGGGCGAGAGGAGAAAGTGGTGGACGCCTGGATCGGGCGCATCTGGTTGGCATTGAAAAAAAGTAGAGGACGCACTGGTTGGAGAAGCCCCATCAGGCACCAATTCAAACAATGCCGAAAAGAGAGGGTGGTTAAAAAAAAATACTGCCTAACACAAGTTGAGACAACCACTTTCTAGCTTCCCTAAGTGCAAGGTGTAATGATTAAGAGATGGGAACTTACTACCAGAATTTATCTGACACACATGTTCCCTCAGGAACCTGTTCCACAAGACAACTGCACTGCCTTCCTAAAAATGAGAATAAATATTGAATGACTCTAAAATTATTAAGCCGGACTTCTCTGCTATGTGTGTAAAACTAAATTGTGTGGTTTGCCCACGCCGAAATCAAGATAGAATAGGATTATAAGGCATGCCATAGTAGGGGCACGCCTGATTAATTTTGACTTCCCTCCAACATGCACCTAAATACAAGTATGTAAGCACTATCACAGCTTTTCACCATTCAAATGTGGCTACTGTACGTGACTGGGAATTAAACCCAACCATCTTTATACTCAGCCACCCAATGATATAGCTCCTAAGGTGGATTAACCTGCCAAGCGTGTTTACTGGATTATATGAGCAACAGGCTTTTCCTCAACAAAATATGTCTGCACTCTATCCACTCCGAACATTATATTTCCCCCAAGGCTCCGTGAACTGTTTGAATGTTTATATAGACCTTATATTTGAAAAGAAATGAATATTCAACAATCTTGTACATCTTGTACAAGTTCCTCCTTCTGTACAATAAAAAGAAATTATTTCTGGCATTTCATGTGCCAAAACTTGACATAGCACACCACACTGGAGCACTGCATACGACAGCCTGGTGCTTCCTTCAACGTGCACTTGATTGAAATTACAGGAGTGTTCTTGTGTGTGTTCCCCATCAACACTGTGGCTGCCATGACTAGAGGCAGACCACAGTCCAACTATCAATCAGGCCCAGTCTGCCATATAGCACAGTAGCAATATGCCTCAGCTGCAAAACTACAAAGGCATAGTTTGCTTGCAATGTGGTGGCCCTCAACTGTAGCATGTAAACACCCTGGGCCTTCTAAAAAATGTCTTGGCAAAAGCTGAAGCAATATTAAAGGTGGCCCAAGCCATCGCTGCCTAAAAAAAAAGTGGCAAGCCTCCTACATTATTTTGTGTACACTGTAATCATGTAAATAGACTGCAATATAGCTAGAGACTCGGGAGTGCGGAGATATAGCTCTGGACCATAGAACGAGCCGACGAGGTGGCAGCCAGACATGGCCTGACCGCCATATATCTGTGAAGAACACTCTTTTTTGCTTCAATAAAGTTACTGCACTTTCTATAAGATAACCAAGTTTATGTTGAGCTTTCAAGTGTGCCAACTATTAACTAAATATGACAGCAGACGATGGTCAGTATAAATAGCATAAAAGGGAATACTTGTGGCAGAAAACGACATTTTATATGAATGTTCATATTTAATGAACTATTTCTTTAAAGAAAACGTTTTTCAAATGTGTTGTGGGATTGCCAGTGGTTCTCAATAGGTGCACATTTGAAAATGACAGGCAAGTACATTCACAGTGAGAAAATACTTCATTCTGGAACAAAAGCACATCAATGGACTACAAATGTAAACAAATCAGCTATGGGGAAATGCGTTGCCTACCAAGGTCACGTTTGGTGTGAGCAGTAAGCGGACGACTTCGTGCACATTGCTGTCGGCCACTGAATTGTCCTCTCCAATGGTGCCTTCATTGCTATCTTGCTCATCCATTCGAAGATGCTAGACCTGCACGACGTAAGGAAAGACCACACACTAATTGTCCGTTCGATATATTTATTAAACAAACGACAACTGTTGCCTACGAAACACACGACGCACAAAGCGGATTGGCATTGCTGCGGAGCATGGCTGCAGGACATACAGAAAGTTCGTGCACTGTTGACACTGAGCGTAATTATATACAAAGCAACGAGCGGTCCACTTGCATGCGCGTGTTTTGCGGCTGTGCTACAACAATGGAAAACATACGGAGGATGAACAATTCAAATATAGAAGGTGCTCGACGTTACATGCAGCTGCGCTATCCACGTCGTCGATACAAACTAGTAGGAATTAAATTTGAGAACATACGGAACACCGCTGGCAGATTAAGCCTGCAGTGGGAGCACAACTAGTGGCGAGGCACAGCAGTACAGCTGTCAAAGCTACGCGCCTGACATGGACCAAGTGCTTCCAAACTACGACGCAGACTACAAAACCGCGGCGCTACACCTGCCCAGCGTGCCGGCAAACGTAATGGTGCACTTTGAGCGCACGGTGCAAGACGAAGCAGGGCTAGCGACTAGCCGAGCACATTTTTACCATTTAAAGTACGAGCTGACGACATCCCGTTTCGGCAAATGGCGACCTCCCAGCACTTTTCGAGCATTTTCGGTGATAAAAGCGGCTGTTATCGGTGATTTCCTGCCAGAAATCGACCGTACTAGTCGCCTCGCACGCGCTCAACGGTCCACACCCGCGAAACTACAGCGTTCGAAGACACTCGAAGAATCTTGGGTAAAAAATTGAACACTGGGAACTCACCTGCCTGCCCACCATGCACAGCGAAAAGAAAATGGCGACAGGGCAGCCTCATCAGTGTGGCCAGGCGAAGCTGCCGAAACGGTGGCCGCTGTCAAAATTGAACAGATACGAAAAGCAGCTTCAGAAAACTGAACAGTCTGCACAATGCTAGGCGTAGACTAGTTTTTTAATTGTTACGGCAAGAAAACCTTGGCTTCATAATGGCTCATTTTGCATACGGCGATAGCCTCCCATTTGAAGCGGTGCCCGCGATTTTTCTTGCGTAATCGCAGGTGCGGCAGTCGAGTTGTCGTCGTTCCTTGCTAACAATGTGTTCGCGGATGTTTTCGATAGTTTTGCGATCGTGGGTGAGGGTCAAAAGACATGTCATGACAGCCAACCAGCTAAAATGCTCCACAAAAACAGTTTCCAGTGTGACTGTAATACAGAATGGACAGGACAAGCCGGTGCCAAGTTATGTGGCATAAGTTGCGTGAAAGTTGCAGTTACAGAGGTAAATATGTAGGACATCTTAGAAAACAACTTACATTGACAGACCAGCTTCACAGACATTTTGCCATGTATATTGTTGTCAAGCACAAGGTAAAAAGTAGAAGACCCCCCCCCCCCCCCCATTCTTCTATGCACGTGGGACCACTGCAGGAATTTCGGTGTTCCATACCCGACACTCGCATGGATTGATTGCCATAGTACCAGGATTTGTTTTATTGCCCCAGAAGGGTTTCAGAGATTCCCCCATCAAAACACACACACGCAAGTCAAGTGTATTTATAAAAGAAAGCATAAAAACGGGGGGGGGGGGGGGGGTGCTCAGAAACGCCTAATTAAAGTTTTATATTAAAAGGTTACAGCTGCAAAGATGTGCAAAAATAAATAAATAAAATTTCATTTTCGCCAGAAGTTCAAGAAATGAAAAGGATATGAATTTCGCCAGTAACACTACTTTGTGGCCCACCACACAGCCGGAGTGACAGAGATAATAAAAATAGGCAGATCCCACGTACAGAGGGAATCGATTATATGCGAAGCACGAATGAGGAAGGTTGATATTGTCACGTGTGTCGTGACGTGGACGAATGGAGCACACTGCGAGTCGAATAATAAATTGTTTATTTGGGTGAACCTGTGCCCAGTAAACGGAAATAATCGACGCAGAAACATAGGGTCCCTTAGAAGTGTGGCAGCTTGGGATATCCTTTTTCTTCACTAACACCACGGGGGATGCCCATGGACTCTTGGACGGCTGGATAATGTCATCCCGCAGCATTTCATGAACATGTCTCTTCATGGCCTACGTTCTCGCGTCGAAACCCTGTACGGACTCTGACGGAGTGGTCTGGCATTTTCTTCGGTTATGATGCGGTGTTTCGTGATTGGGGTCTGCCGGATTTTCGATGACGACGAAAAGCAATCTTCATATTGCAGGAGAAGGGCCTTGAGCTGTTCTTGCTTATGGTTCGGAAGTCTGGGATTGACATAGAAAGCTATGGGAGGGGCTTGGTTTCTTTGAGCAGGTTCCGCAGAATCGTCGAGGGCGAAAGCACTGGTGGCTTCGACAATTTCTTCGATGTATGCGACCGTTGTTCATTTGTTCACATGTTTGTACTCATTGCTGAAATTCGTGAGCATAACCGTTGCTTTGCCTCCCCGCAGCTCTACAATTCCTCTTGCGACGCAAATATTTTGGGTGACCAACAGATGCCCCGCCGCGGTGGTCTAGTGGCTAAAGTACTCGGCTGCTGACCCGCAGGTCGCTGGTTCGATTCCCGGCTGCGGCGGCTGAATTTCCGATGGAAGCGGAAATGTTGTAGGCCCGTGTGCTAAGATTTGGGCGCACGTTAAAGAACCCCAGGTGGTCGAAATTTCCGGAGCCCTCCACTACGGCGTCTCTCATAATCATATGGTGGTTTTGGGACGTTAAACCCCACAAATCAATCAATGGGTGACCAACAGATGCTGACTGCCTTCAACGACACCTTCCAAGTCAGGTGATTTAGGAGCGCCGACTGAAATAATGACGCTTGCGCGAGGCCGAATGGTGACTTGTTCTTCCAGCACATTCAAGGCATGGTTTCCTGACGGCGTGCGCGGTGCTAGGGCTTTTTCTGTGGATAACGTTATTGGCTTTGTTTTTAGGTTGATGACAGCAACATGGAGACATAAGAAGTCCATGCCAAGGATGACATCTCTCGAGCAATGCTGTAGGACTACGAAGTCTGTAGGATAAATACGGCCGTTAATGGTGACTCTCGCTGTGCAGATTCCTGCAGGCGTTACGAGATGACCTCCGGCTGTGCGGATTTCGGGGCCTTCCCAAGCTGTCCTAACGTTCTTCAACTTCGTGGCGAACGGCCCACTGATGACGGAATAGTCGGCTCCAGTATCGACGAGAGCGGTCACACTGTGGCCGTCGATAAGAACGTTGAGGTCGCTAGTTCGGCGTCTCGCGTTACAGTTAGGGCGTGGCGTCGGGTCACGGCTGCGTCGGCTTGTTCCGCTGCTTCCATGTTGCGTCGTCAGGTCACCTTCGGTAAGTGAGGTTTCGCCGTCAGGGCTTTGCCTGGTTGGCGTTGTGTTCGGAAAGCTCCGTCGCGTCGTCGTCGGAGGATTTTCGGTAGTTCGTCGCAAAGAAACCGCACCTCCATCGGTCGCCGCCCTTAGTTTTCCGGATACGGGCTAAGGACCGGCCCCGTGTTGGGCCAGAGTACTGCCGGTGGTGCGGTGAAGTGCGGCGGCTGGGCGACGGCGAACGGGAAGGGCTTCGTGGTGTCCACTGAGTTCCTGTCAGGTAGTCGGCGATGTCACGTGGCCGTTCCCCTGGCTGCGGACGTGGTGCATCGATGGCGAAGCCACGCAGTCCCATCTGTCGGTACTAGCAACGGCGGTAAGTGTGCCCGGCCTCGCCGCAGTGGTAGCACAGTGGGCGGTGGTCAGGGGTGCGCCAAACGTCGGTTTTCCTCGGCGCACTGCGCTGGCCCGCTGGCGAACGGTAGGTCGTCGGTGGGGTGGTGGCAGCGGTGGCGTCTGGCGACTGAAGTGCGATGGGGCGGCGTTTTGGCGTGCGCGTGGAGGAGGGGCGTGGCGGCGGGCTGCAGCAGCATAGCTCATGGCTTGCAGCTGCGGCTCTTGAGGCTGAGGAACGCCCAGCGATTGCTGGATCTCCTGGCGTACGACATCCGCGATGGATTCCATATGAGGCTGCGCTGAAGGAAGTAATTTTCGCAGCTCCTCTTGCACGATCGCTCGGATCGTCTCACGCAAGTAGTGGTTCCTAGCGCTTGAATGCCGGCATAGCTTGTAGACGAGAAGCTACGGTTATATTGCCGCGTGCGCATCTGGAGCGTCTTCTCTATCGTAGATGCTTCTGAAACGAATGCGGCGACCGTCTTTGGCGGGTTTCTGATCAGGCCAGAGAAGAGTTCCTGCTTTACTCCTCGCATGAGCAGACGGACCTTCTCCTCGGACATGTCGGAGTCAGCGTGGCGGAAGAGTTTAATCATATTTTCCGTGAATAGCGCCACGTTTTCATTTGGAATCTGCATCCGGGTTTCGAGGAGAGCTGCGGCCTTCTGCTTGCGCACTACACATGCGAAAGTGGTGAGGAACCTGGCGCGAAAGACGTCCCACGTTGTAAGGCTTCGCTCTTGATTCTCGAACCAGGTCCGAGCAGCATCTTCTAAGGCGAAATACACATGCCGGAGCTTGTCATCGTCTATCCAGTCATTCAAAGCGGCGACGCGGTCGAACCTTTCGATCCAGCTTTCCGGGTCTTCCAGTGGCGAACCGCGGAAAGTTGGCGGCTCTTCGGGTTGCCAGAGCAGGAGTGGTGCAGGTGGAATCGGCGTTGACATGATCGCCGTGGTCGACGTCAACGCCTTGGTTTTCTGAGCCTTGTCCAGAAGGGTTTAGAGATTCCCCCATCAAAACACACACACGCAAGTAGAGTGTATTTATAAAAAAAGCATTAAAACGGGATGGGGGGGGGTGCTCAGAAAGGGCTAATAATAGTTTTATATTAAAAGCTTACAGCTGCAAAGATGTGCAAAAATAAATAAATAAGAATGACACTTTCATTTTCGCCAGAAGACCAAGAAATGAAAAGGATATTAATTTCGCCATTGATACTACTTTGTAGTCCACCACACAGCTGGAGTGAGAGAGATAAAAAAAAATAGGCAGATCCCACGTACAGAGGGAATCGATGATATGCGAAGCACGAATGAGGAAGGTTGATATGCCACTTTCAAATCACCACAACGTTAATAAGTGGAGGTAAATTATACCGTACGCGACCCCCGTGTCATGATTATTTTGTTTTGATATACTTTCGCCATCTATTCACGTCACCTGATGCCAAATTCAGTATATGTGGAGCCAGCAAAACGGCCACGATGACGCTACGAGCGTGGTATGTTGTCAGTGTGGTTTAAAGGACCACACTGCTTCGGTGATTTTAGCCGTTATTGACCACTGCCCTTATGACGTTATCCCAGGCCTGGACTTCTTGTCGAATAATTCTGCTCTTATAGATTGGGCTACCGGCGTCCTTCAGCTAGAGCTGCCTCAGATAGTCGCTGAACACCACACTGCCCCGCCGCGCCTGTGCTCTCTTCAGGATGTGCGACTGTCACATCAGGCAGCCACCTATGTCATTTTGACCGCACAGCCACAGGTTCCCGATAGTCAATATGTTCTCCTTCATCTCGCCGACGTCCTCTTGGAGCGCAACATCGCCATTCCCCATACGCTTGTGACTGTCACTGACAACTGTACCTCGCTCCCACTTCTCAATTTCAGCTTTTGCCCTCAAGTGCTTCCTCGTGGCATGTTCTTGGCCAGCGTATCCAATGCCGACGAATTCAAAATAGCGGCTCTTACCACCGAGATTGATTTACTTCATTCTCCTGTAGCTAACAGCATCTGTTCTATGCCGAATCGTTTCTCGAAGATGATTACACCCAACCTCAAT